TTGGGATGATGACTTGGATGATTTTTGATTTGATACATGCATACACGGGAAGGATGAAACAAACAGGCATGAGGTCGGCATGAGGTCCAGACCTGAGTATCACAGCGCGTCAACGATTAGCAGTAGGAAGGCACTTCTGGAATTCTATACCCACAAAGACGCAAGAGCATGAGCATGTCGGTTGCCTCATGAGTAGACGATAGAAGTTTCCTCTTTTCGTTAGTAGCAGATACCAGACCCAAGAGAGAGGCTACGAACGATGATAAGTTGGAGCAACAAAATAATAATAGTATTCACGAGAAGCCTCTATACAGGGGATTGTTTGCGCTCCCTGCCGCTAGAACTATGTGCTCGTGTCCTTGTTCATGTACAGCGCGTGCCGCTACAAGAAAAATCATCCGCTGAGAGATCTTGTCCCTCTCACTGGACTCCTCAAATATCAAACCCCTCAATTGAAGGGAGGGAGCAAGCCTATACCGTAACCATGGGAATCTTTGACCGATCATGCGATGCCATCCCACCCCCAAACGCCGAGCTAATGCCACCCATGTAACCGGATGACGCCAATTCTCATTCGTCTCTTTGAAAGACTGACTTTGCGTCACTCCATGCCGCAACTCAAAGGTAGATACCAACCCAGGCCGTCTTGTTCGTAGCCTGTGTCTCGCAACCATCGACTGCACAGGTGAGTTTGCTTTCATCGTCGCGCCCAAATCCGGTATTCGGGCGCTTAGCTACCGGTTTGCGATTCTCGTAGCAGTCTTCGCAGTAAACCTGGTATAGCATCAGTAACGTGAGTGGAACGCGTGGAATCTTGATCCTTACATGTCCGCAACCCTTCAAGGCCCAGAAGTGATGCTCACTGCGCTGACGCTTATTGCCCTTCCGCGCGGGTTGCTTCCCGTTGACAGGCACGTCAGGATCGTAAGCCAGCTCCTCGTTGCATGCGGGACAAATCACAACCAGATCAGAGGCGGTGTCCCTCGTATATCCAGGTCTAGGGGGGGGCGGAGCTTGGTGGACTGGTTTAGGTGATTCGGCGCGTTGATCGAAAGCGCCGTGCTCGTATTGAAGTTGGATATTCCCAAGGGGGTTGTTCAGATCTCCTCCTTGATTAATTCGATTGTGCAACATGCCGAGCAGCTGTACCTCGTCCTCAGGGCCAGGGAAGAGCCTGAAAGGATACAGATGGCGCCTTAATCCGGCTGCTAGTCCACTGAATGCACTTCCGTTCGGGTTCAGCATGAATCCGACCGGCTGTCGACTGCGATCGCGCTGACGTGGTTGTGGAGGCGGCGGTACATGCGTACGTCTTCGCGGGACTTCGGGCGAGTCGTCGGTAAGGTCGATGACGGGTGGTGCATTGCCGGCGAGAATACTACTGTCGCTCCGCGAGAAAGACGGCGGGTTCCTGCCTTGGGAATGTTGTCTTCTGGGATTCGTCGGAGGTCGAGGCGCATGTCTCTGGATAGGGCTGTCGGGTTCGTTGGTCAAGTCGATGACATCGGCAGGGCCGTTTTGGTTGTTTTGAGGTCTCCTCTCGTTTCTACCCTGTTCGAAGTACAGCTCCAGATCCACAAGAACATCGCCTGAGCCATTGTGACGGGCGGCGCCGCCTCCACGTTGCCCTCGCATGCTTTCATCTCGGCCACCCGGGGGTGGCATCCTTTGTTCGCGGAGCTGTGGCAACTGATCCATCTCGGCAAGAAGCGCAAGCTCAAGTTCGTCGGCAAGATCGGGAGAGAAAGGGTCCGAGTCGTTAAATAGCGGATCGTGAGGGTCAATCTCGAGTGACATCAAGGACTCTGAATCAGACTCTAAAGGGTGTGACTGTGATTGTGAATCAGACTCAGGGTCCCAATCCACCTGCGCATCGGCTTCAGAGTCGAATATGCTTGAACGATGATCGACGACGTCGGAGGAAGATTCGGGAATGTAGCCGGGAATGTAGCCTTGGTAGGCGGCCTCGATGTCGCTATCGTCGTAAAGTTCTTGCTCAGGCAAGAGAGATGCTACCGAGGGAGAAGGCGGAATCGTAGAGAGACGAGACGGAGAGGACGCAGTCGATGGGGAAGCTGATATTGAGGGAGAAAGTGGAATCGGAGAGAGCCGAGCCGAAGAAGACGTCGTCGATGGAGAAGATGGTGGAGAAACAGAGCTCATATTATGTTTATCGAGCCAATATGGGTTGGCGCTGGAGAAATAATTAGCTTAAGTCCGGCAGCTCCAGTCAGCATGTGGCTACGCACAAACCGTCTGTTCCTCGGGTAGGTGTCTTGCGTGCGGGAGGAGAATCGTAGTCGTGAAGGCCGGGTCTTGTCGGGAGACGTAAAGTAGAAGTGAATCTCCTACGACGGGCACAAAGGTGAAGCGACCATCCCGTGGAAGCTGTTGGTGTGATCGAGATGTGGAAGAAGGAAGAAAATCCGAGGGCGCTTCAAAGCACAAGGAAGAGGCGAGGTCCTTGGACTTGCCCGTCGTGGTTGTGGTGTTGTTAGGTTGGTGGCGGTTAAAGGTTAAGTGCGGGTCTAGGCCATTCAGCGGAAAGAGCGATGGATGATTTGGCGCTTCAGCCTTAGATAAGCTCGCACAGTGCAGGCGCTGCAGGGGGGCAACACCGCCGATAAGGCAGGAGCCCCTCTGGACTTTCAGGGTAAGGTGAGGTAATTGCGGCGGAATATTTGCTAAGCGACGGTGCCCTGCATTCCCCATTGTCTCCATGCAAGCTCGCAAGGTAGAGACGGTAATATTTCCCTAAAATGATTATGTCATAGTCCCGAAAAGGGACAGAAATGTCAGGATGCACCTTCGCCCCAGCACACTTTCTTATGAATAAGCAAGTGCCTCAAGGTGTCTCAAGACATCTTTGACCGGAGTCGGCAAGCCTTTCACTTGACTTATATCGGGATCCCGATGGTGTTGATTTGTTCCTTCGCGCTTTTTTTTGCAAGATCAGAGTACTTCGTACTTCATACCTTGTGAGCCCAAGACTTCGGATATCATTTTAAATGAGACTCTCCTGTCCTCATTACTTATAATACAGATCGCGAGACATGCCATGTCTGCTTATTCTTGCTTGACTCCAAACACTGAAACAACGCCCTCCTCGTTGACGGACACCAACTGCTTGGCCCCAGCACCCCACTGGACCGACAATGCAGCCACCGACGTTCTGAGGGGCTCTGACCATTTCTTGGAGCTCTTGGTGTACTGTTGGACAGTAATGCCGCCGGCACCCGCGGTTGCCAGGAACTGTCCACTATAGTCCCAAGCAAGTGACTGCACTGGCCCCCCGGTCTCTAGTGTCTTGACCTTTGCAGCATCTCCCTCCTTGCGCAGATCGAAGATGGTTACTGAGCTCTGGCCCTTGGCTGTCGCTGCAAGCCAGAAGCCGTTTTCTGAGAAGGTCAACGCCTCGACAGGCGCGCCGAGGTCGAATGCAGCCGCAACCTCCAACGTCGTTGTCATAAAGAGCTTGATCTCGCCTGTAACGGTTCCGGCTGCGAAGAGGTGTCCATCGGGGTGGAAAGCAGATGATGTGAGGGCTGCGCAGGTTAGCAGGTGGTATAGGAGTACTGGGGGGCTTCGGTAGCTTACCAGAGTCGGCGTAGGCACGGCTGATCTTCTTGAGAGTGTTGAGATCGTACAAGACAATGCTCTTGTCCGAGCCAACGGATGCGAGGAGGTCACCGGTAGGATGAAGGCTCAAGGACGTTGCGGAACCTGCATGTTCAGAGATAGACGCAACTTCGCTACCACTCTCGAAGACCTTCACTGATCCCTTGCTCGTGGCAAAGATGAGCTTGCTACCAGTCCACACAGAGTCAATGACCGGTTCGTTGACCGCAACTTGGCGTTCGACCTGGTCTGCCTCAATAGAGTATATCGCAGCATCTCCTGAACGACCACTGATGGCTGCGTAGCTTCCTTCGGTGGCCAGCGACGAGGCATTCGAAACCGGTGTTGAAGTGGATGCCACAGCGGTCAACAGGGCGACCTCTTCGGACGTAGCCCAGCCCTCGGGGACCGGACGCTTCTTGCGGCTCTTGGAGAGTCTGTGGCTTGTTAGTGTACCATTCTAGAGTTACCCATGCCTGTGCCTTCTGAAGACTGACTCTTGGTGCTTTGCGTTGACCTTGTCAACCCATTCCTCCGGAAGACCTTCGGCCGAATCAATGGCCATGGCATCCCCATTTGTGGCTCCAGCGCTGACGCTGACCTTGGAAAGCGCCTCTCTAGCCTCATCTCGCTCCTTGGACAGACGCGCAATCACTCTGACCGCGGCATCGTGTTGGTACAATGCTGTAGCAAGCTCCTCCCGTGTCCTCGCAAGCTGTTCCTTCAGGTTGAACGTCTCGAGAGCGAGCGCATCCCACTCATTCTGGAATGTCGCAAGCAAGGCCGGAATCGAAGTGAGCGTCGGGGGTCGGGGGCGGACAACGTGAGACTGTGTCAAAGGAAGAAGGTCCTCGATCGTCAGGGCTTCGCCAGTTACAGGTTCGGTACCATTCTCCTCGATGTATTTCTCGATCAATCGCTTCTCGAAGACGGTGCCTAGTTACAGTCAGCATATTGGGGGTTGACGCGACCAGGCGCAAACACGTACCAGACTTCTTTGAGGCAACAGGCTCCTGAGGAGCTTCTCCAGAAACTGAGAAAACAGTCAGCAGTTGCGCAAAATACTCCCGGGTATTTGAACCTACTGGCGCACAGCATTGTCTCGAATGTCGCGATATGAGCCGTCACAAAGTTCGTCCGCGTCGACTTTTCCCTTCCAAAACAAAACTTCAGCCTTGCTGCACCTGCAGTTCCAAGGTAGTGTGGGTCTTGCTTCGCAGCTGGTGAGCACGAGCCACTCCATCACGTGTGGCTGGTTATGGAATGTCCCGTCATCGGCGCCTCCCGTCTTGACTTATCTTATCTCTATCTTATCGCACCGTGAAGTCTCGCTGACTTGAGGTCTACCTACCTTACCTAAGCTAAGGTACCTCATCAATCACCTTCCACTGCCTTAAAATGCAGAGGTGCCCTCGTTGCGCGCGATGTTAAAGACTAAACAGGTCATGAACGGTCACTTACTCATTGCTTCATCGTGATTCAAAACAACAAAGTGCAATTTGCAATTCACTATGGCTTCTCTGCCTGACGTCAACAGTCTCAACTCCCTCCCCGTGGAGCAACAGGCCAAGGTCCTAGATGCGCTCTTCGAGCCGAGCCCCGCGATTCACGCCTTTCTTCTGCCCTCTATTTCCACAACATCTTTCCAGTCGTACGACGAGTTCATCAACCAAGCTCAAAAGATCTTCGAGGCTCTTACGGCGGACCCTACACAAAAGGCACAGCTACACTCAATCATCGGTTCACACCCACGTCTCGGGGCCAAGAAGGTTGAGAGTGCTCAGTCCGCCGCAGAGCAAGCCCAGCTTCAGAGTGGAGACGCCACAGAGCTGGCTGCGCTGAACGCCGAGTACGAGGAAAAATTCCCAGGCCTACGTTACGTGGTGTTTGTCAACGGTCGAGGTCGGCCGGAAATTATGGAAAACATGCGTGCTCGTATCTCGCGTGGTGACTTGGCTCTCGAGGAATTCGCCGCCATCCAGGCAAGTTGCACCCTTGAACCTGGATCCTCGAGACATTCTTCTAACGAGACAACAGGCAATGTGTGATATTGCCAAAGATCGTGCAGCGAAGCTTCTAGCCGCTTCAGGATGAACGGCATAGAGCGTCCTCGAAGACCTTTGTCGGGTTCGATCGTCTGATTCACTTCCTAGAAAAGAATTTCCAACCCCCGTCTAAGCCTATAGCACATCCCAAATCTAGCTTGCCCATGAGAAACTGTCCGACGCCTTCCTTCCTCGTCCAATCACAGCTTGGCGTTCTCGTCCAGCAGTCTCAAAAGTCTGCCAACACGCTCTGCCTCACGGTAGCCGCTGACGACTGCACCAGCCACGCTTCCACGGTTTTCCATCTCTGTGTGCTCGCCGGCAAATCCGAGTCTTCCATCCCATACGGGCCTGCTCAGCTCCTTGAAGTCAAGTGGGCTTCGCTCCCCATTCTCTGAGATAATGGAAGGCGTGGTCGTAGCACCGCGGGAGAACTCGTCTGTCAACCAGTTGGTCAAGTTGGTCTCGATCGGCTCCGCAGGCTCAGATGATGGCTTGAAGCGAGAGACGAGGAACTTGTGGTAGGCAGCCGCGACTTCCTTCTGATCGAAGCGGAGCAATGCGGTAGCAGGAGTTTCGGAAAGGTACGTCAGCAAAGTCGGACTAGGGCCAGGGAGAGACGGCCCAGCGAAGTTGGCGCAGACCAGAGTCGACGCCTCGAAGATTTCGGCGGGGGTCGAGCTTTCGGTCACGGGCTTCGTAGATGTGGGCAAGAAGGTGTAGGATCCTGCCTTGTCGGCCTCGGGCCACCAAGCTGTCTGGTACTGGAGCAGCAACTTCTCTAGGACACCGACGTGGGTGCCCTTGATTACCTCCTGTAGGCGCGGCGGCAGCGCAGGGTTGAAGGTGCTTTCAGGTAGAGTCTTGAGGGTACCGAGCGGGATGGTAGAAATGGCCGTCTTTGCCGTGAATTTGTTGCCCTTGGCGTCGACAATTGTAACTCTGTCTTGACTTTGTGAAATTTCAGTAATCTTTGTGCTCAGCTTCACCTCAGTGCCCTTGGCCTTGGCGTCATCAAGGACCTGCTTGACCAAAGCCTCATAGCCTCCCTCTGGGGCGGCATCAGAGCCTCCAAATGAGGTGGTACTCTCCCATCCAGCCCACTTCAGAGATGCTTTTTCGAGCTTGAGTCCCAGGGGAATCTCGAGGGAGCGGGCAAGGGCGGCTGCCAGCTCCTTCTGAGATGAACCTGATGCGGGCTGCGTCGCTACCTGCGTCGGGTCGGCAGGGCTGGTTTGGTTGACGTCTGAGGAAGGGTCAGGGGATGCAGAAGCTGAGAAAAGAGCCGAGTCATCAGCCAGAAGGGCGGATGCGAGAGATGTAGATGGAGAGGGCGCTGGGTGAGGGAGCTTCAATGATGCCTGAGCAGCACCAAGGGATGCCCGCAGGTTGTCGGCATTGGAACTTGAGAGACGGCCTGTTCTTTGTCAATACAGCATATCGCTATGGGTCAGAGTCACACGCACCAGTTGGGCCGTAGATCACACCCTCAGCAGCCTTGGGCAAGTGAGCGGCCTACTCCATCTCATTAGCTTCTGATCTCTATTACTCAATCACGTTCATATCAAACTCACAACGCCAAAGTCTTGGGCGATATATCTCGCAGGGTTTCCTTCTTTGTAGCCGTGAATCCAGCTGCATCCAACATCAATCTTGGCATCTCCCTTCACCCACGTACTCGCACGTCCACCGATTCTGTCTCTAGCCTCAAGTACCAACACTTTGCGACCCTTGCTGGCAAGCTCCCGGGCGGCAACGGCGCCAGACCAGCCGGCTCCGATCACAATTGTGTCCAAAAGTTGATTGCTCATTGTGACAATGTTGCGTTTAAACATGTGTCTGGATCTTGAAAGTTGAACAAAATGTTGGGCAATGGGCCTGACAATGTCGTGCTTCAGCTTCCCGGGTTAAATCACCCCGCCCCCCAGTGTCCCCGCCATCGTCCCCAGGCCCAACGTCACGGCGGGGCCCGGGAAGATGTCCGACCGGGCCGACCATCGGAACTGGTGGGGGTTTCTTCTGCGTCGATTCCGTTGCAACACCGAGAATTGCTCCCAGTCTCTGTAGCACCCCGCTATCGATACAAAATCCCTCGATACGAAGAACCCTCGACACGAATCGCATCTTTCAGACTGGTTCCAATGTAAGGTCTTCTCACTCTCCGGACTTTCGAATGTCGGAATTCCGGGCGGAATCATGGACGGAATTGAAGGCAGCTTGAGGCATAGGCCTCCGGCAGGCAAGTATGGCCTTTGAGTGAGTCTTTTTTTTTTCTTCTTATTATTCACTTTCATCTATATGAAGGCTGAGGCTGTAACCCGACGCCTGTTTTATGGCGCCGTATCCAATAGCACATGATGGCCAATCCTCTCTTTTCCTACCAGGCCAACAACGAGAGTGAGTAACCTGCTTATGGCGCTCATCTCATATGTCTTTGGACAGAGCCAACTGGCCATCCCGTGGCCTCAAACTTTGTCGAAAAGATGCGTCTCGAATATCGCCTACGCATTGATAGGCCAAATCTGGCTTTTGCTGCTTTTGTTTCCTTTTCCATTCCAGCCCACCCATTCCGGTGCTACTAGCCGCTTTGCCTTTGTTTTAGATTCGAAATTCGAGCAAGTTGGTTCTCCTTCATCCGTCATCCAACGGCACTACCTGCCGCCGACCCAAGAAATACCATCCAGCTCATCGAGATACTCTTCGTAGGAGTTGCCATCGTCGTCAGTCTCACCAGTCTGTGCAGATCCTCCGAAGATGGCACCAAAGTCAGAGTACACATCTTCCAGATCGTCGTCGTCGGCCCACGCGTAGGAACACTCATGTGTTGATGTGGGAAACGCCAGCAGTCCGTCATCCTCCATGTCGTCCAGCATTGTGCTTGAAGGAGCTAGAACCGGTGATCGGGCTGGGTTCAACCTCGGCGATACAGGTTGTAGCCGAGTTGATTGAGGCGTCCATGGAGGCGATGGCTTTCTCTGCGCCTGGGTGGACAGCGCATTCGTCGGATGAGGAGTGCCTGGAGAGATTCCGGGTCGCATCAGAACAACCCTTGCTGGCGGTGGTTGCTGTCGGTGTTCTGGATGTGCTGGCGATTGTGCAACAAACCTAGCTCCTGTGGCTAGTTGCTGGCCGTGGTGAAGCACAGCCGCATTGGCAGCCGTCACGGCGATTCCGATATCACCGCGCTGTGTCGCCTCATTTCGGACACGTAGCCGAATCCTATTGAGTACTGCCGCTCTCAACATGATGGAGCTCTCTCGAAGTAAGCCCTGTTTGCCGGCATCGGGCGAGGTGGCTACAGCAGCCAGCTTCACGAAACGCTTGTCGCCCAAGGGACTGGCTTCACGGTTGATAATATGTGTCGCAGGTAATGAGTAGGGCTGAGAAAGTCGACTTGTTATGAGATGAAGCCTCAAGCGACGCTTTTTACAACTCAGCCCGGCTGTGTATGGGCCGTCAACATCGGACTCGGCCCTAGCACGCTTTACTCTGTTGAAAGATGAGGGTTGGCTCGAGAAGACGAAGTTGGCCTTCTCCTGGCTGGGAGGGAAGATGTAAGGCGGTACTGTCGGCCGATTTGTCGGCGAAGAGGTGATTGGGTTCTTCTGGGCAGTTTCAGTGGATGGTGTTGCAAATATCTTGGATCCATGCTCTGAGCCATGGGCACTGGTGGTAACCAAGGTAGTTCTGAGGATTGAAGCTGAAGGGCAGTTGGACTCATGTTTGGCACATCGTCTCAAGGCCTGTGGCGAGAAGAGATGGGGGTCGATGTTGATACCGCCATCGTCTTCGCAAGCTGAAGTTCCGAGGCGCCATGTCTTGAAGGGTTCCAACGCACTGCGGTTCAACGAACCGACTTCAACCACCATCGTTATCTTGTTGTCTCTACTGATACCTCTCGTTCGGATGGAAGGAGACGACCACTCGCCTCTTCCGGGTGACTGAGTCGCGTTGGTAGAAAACAATGCTCGGAGAGCCGGTTCATATCCCACGGCCACTCCCACGCCCGATCTAACTACCGTCCGCTACCAACATGGAGGCCGGGTGACGTGACCCTACAGAGAATTAACAAAGTCCGTCGAAAGGTTAAAGCGGCATAAGGAAAGAAGAAGATGCTGGAGTGGAGCAGCCAAGGTAGATGACGAGAAAAGGGCCCTTACGCTAAATGCGAGCGACGTTCCTAGCAGGATGCGTGACTGAGAGTGGGGAGAGCGGGAAAGGCGAAAAGGCTGATGCCGTCCGCAGCTGCAAGACAAGCACGAGACCCCGTCTTCTATTTATTGCTCTGCTCCGTATGTACTCCGTACACGTTGCCCGTCAGACGGGTCCTCAGGCGAGTGCATAGAAAGCGGGGAGAGAGGCACAGCGCGAGAAGGGAGATCAGCACAAACCGACGGGGCGGAACCGCCCATTCGAACATTGAACGTGACCAGCTGGTGTTCCACCCCCCTTCTCCTCTCTTTTCGAGAGCCCGGGAACCGTGCTACCCATTGACAGGACGGGCTAAGAAAAACAAAAAGTCGTGGTTTGACTGATGTGTGGGCGTGTGAGGGAGAGGCGACAGGGATCGCGGAGGTAGGAATGGGCAGAGACCTGGGGAAAGCTGGCAAGGGGCGAATGAGAGGGTCGGGATGCGCCGGTCACCCCCGGTCCTGCACCAACCCCGGTCTGGGGTCGAGGGGGGAGGAGATGCGAGTGACATGGGCGGGAAATTTGGGGCGTTTTCAGCCTTCAGGCAAATGGACGGACATGCGTTGGGTAGAGAGTAAGAGTACGCAGTAGTTGTGTTTGTTTGAGTAAAGTAAGCATGCTGTGCAGCGTGGTCTACTACGTGCAGGAGCAAGAGAAGTATAACTAGGTAGGTATGTGGACTCGTGGAGAGATCCTTGTGGTTCTTCCGTGGCTTTATTGCATCCGTGTTTGAAGCGCGTCAAGGTTTATCGCAACCAGGGTACTCTGGACACTAAGAAGACTATGTTCAACTATCAAGAATGGATCAGGAATTGAGCTACTATTTTACGTACTTCCTATGCATTGAAAAAGCAATCCCGACCTGGAGTGAGAGGTCAAGTCCGGACGGATAGGTGCTACGTTACGGATAGACAGGGAGGCAGAGACATGTTTCCTGCACCCCGGACCGGATGGTCTTGTCCGGCCCAGAGGCGATGTGACAAGCTGCATAAGAGAACACCTAGACCACTTTCTTGACCGACTGGTTTGCTGACCTCTTCTCCGTTTGCCTATGAAATGGACGCTCGGAAGCTGGGCAAAGACATGCGTCAACAGTGGAAGCTGGGAGTCATGGGAGGATCTCACCGAAGGTTCCAAGACAAGGATGCAGGCTGTGTTTCTGCAGACATAGGTATCCATAATCCAGTCAGGTACTTAGTTTACTGTCTGGATGCTTACCACCAAAATGTTCGCCACTCGGCAGGTTTGGGCCTTGTTTCTCACATTCCAGTGCTTCTGTGTGATTACTATCCGAGTTTGTTTGGTTTAATATCTCCGATGTTGCGAGCAGGTGCAATTCCTGAATTTCCGCTCATGTTTCATGGACCTGGCACCAGGAGCCCAACGTTTCTTTTTCTCGCGCAAGTGGCTTGGGTCACCCGCTCTGCTGGATTTTCGCCGCCCCTTTTGACCACGCTTGCGATATCACAACATTCAAGGTGATTGTTAGCTCGAGGGCCTCATTCTTCACTTGTGCCGCTGTCGAATTGAGCCCACACCCTTTATGTTGCCAGATCCGTCATAGGTCGTCAGGTCCTTTTGGCGTGAGTTGAGTCTCCGGTGATGGGTCTAGGTACAATACCCCAGCTCGATGTGATGACTACCTTAGCATGTCAGGAAAGGATACCTTGAGACGGATGATCTGCTCTTTTGCCTCCTCGTCAAAAAACATCAGTCTCCTTGCTCGCCTCCCTGTAGTTTCTCGAGTACCGAGAGCCTCGAACGGTCAAAGCGACACGGGATGCAACACCACAAAAGGAGCAGCCAAGCACAATACCGATGTGACGCGAGCAAACTCCCATTTGTTACCACACTTTGCGGGGAAACCAGCCTCGTCCAACCATGCCCCGGGTTTTGGTTCTCCTATTGTGTACGTGCGTTTGCCGTTTACGCCTGTTGTCAATCACCACGGGGTGCATAATGCAGCGCTCGCCGCTGCGTATCCAACGAGAATTGTTCCGAGACCGCTCATCGGCTGCCAGCACAGCTGAGAGGGGGGCGAGGCGAGACTTCGAATGCAGGATGCCCGGAATGGCATCGTACGGTAATGCGTATCCCCCCTCCCTAAGCCTGCTCACCCGCGGATGGCTGCTTGTCGCTTGCTTGCGAAGCTGGTGGTGTTGAGCCGCTAAGTTTGAAGTGGGAGGGTCACGCGTAGCCCAGAATAATTTTTTTCGCTGAGATTGATTATGAGCTAAAGATTCTTGGGTTGAGGGAGTATTTGTTAGCCAATGGGCTTCGTGACGAATGAACATTCAAGGCTTGGTGAGAGCAACAAGACTAGTTGTGCTAGGCGCCTGTCAGTTGCGGCAAAGACAAAAGAGAGGTGCCAGGGTATACCCCATCTCGGGTTACCCATCTTGGTAACAGACCTAATGCTATGGGTGTCAGCAAGAGGTAACTTAACTCCGAGTAAGGTACATAGTTGTGGACGGATGGTTTCTGAACCAATGCTCCTTTCATACTAGGTACTCTCTTCGTGATCGATCTTCTTGGATAAATTCTCTCTACGCTCAACTGCTGGCTTGCTTCTAAAGCACTCCAGTATTCCCAAGACTTTGACTTGCTAGGAAGAATCAACTCATCGCTTAGGGCTTGAAAGACTGGAACGCCCGCAAGCTTCGACATGTTGCATGACAATCCCAGTTTTCTCGAGTCAGCGGTGCCCAAGATGGACTCAGGCCCTTATTCAACTACCCTTCAGGGCCAAGCGGCCACAATCCCCATCACCTGTCAAAATTTCCCGCTTACCTTGCACAGGGGATACTGGGGCCAAAGCGGCGCCACACTGCATGTGTAAGGTGACAGACAGGCAACCCGACCAGAAATCAGCTGAAGTTCGTTCTCGGTCAGTTGAGAAGACGGGTCGCCGACGGCCCCAAGGGTCAACATGTCAGCGGAAGTTCGGGCAAACAGGTGGGACAAATCCATTCTCCCGCAGGGTCTGAGAGGAGGGTAGCAGCGGCTTTGACCCCCAGAGGCCATGGTATGTGAGGTATGTATGGTAGTAGCAGGGCCCATCTTCTGTCAGCTGTGTGCAGCGCTGGGTAGGACAGCGTCTTGTCCCTGTCACACCTAAGGTATGTATTTGTACGCAGTAAGCATTCAAGGTCGTCTTACATCAGCCACATGTTGTGGATTTCGCCCGCCGCTTGTACGCCGTTGTGACCGGCCCAAAATCACCGGCACCCGTCGTTTTCATGTTGTATTCAAGGCCGAGGAATTATGGGTATACCCCGGAGACCAAAGCCGGCATCCCCACAAAGTGCCGCGGCGACCCTTGGAATGGAGCGGTGGACTCGGCGCAAGAGACTAGCCGAACCCCCAGAGAATCATCTGGGGGATTCCCCTCACATGGGGTGCCTCGGCTCCGCACCGAGACTCTGGCGTACTGAAGTTCTGGAGAAGGAAGAAGGGCAGCTCCGCACGGCCACGGTCCCCGCCAGAGAGCTCCTCGTCCCGAGGTACAATCTCGCCCAGGTCTCAGAGCGTTGTTGGGGAAAGCTAAGCTGAACCCCCGAAGCTGAACTTCAAACCAGTCAATCCCTTCTCCAAGCTCCGAAGTTTCGTCATTTTCTTTTTTGGGGCAGGCAGAATTTATCTCAAAAACCGTTCAAACATCTCTCGTCACGTCGTATTCCGTGATTTCGTCAATCCACCCAGATCGACGTTCCTTGTTCTCTTGTTGTCGTCGTTCGGCAACCCCACCACTTGCTATGTCCAAACTTTTGTTCGACGATGTCATGGCACTGGCCCTGCTGCCAACAACATCGAATCACACGACAACGACAGGTGGCATCGTCAAGCGTTACATGAGTCTCTACCCAGCTTGGGTACCAGGGTCAGAACTTGTTGGCGGCAGAGGCCGCGGGTCCAAGGCAGATCCTCGTGCTGCATACGGAGGGCATGTTTACTGTCAGGCGCCGCTAGCTGCAAGCCGAGCCGTGAAAGAAGAGGAACCTGAAGGATCCGGAACGCAGTCCGGGGGTTTCGGGCTTCACGTGAGACTGGAATCTGCTGCCTTGAGTGGAAGATGGAACCGTCGCTAACATTGAAGCAAGGCCATTCAAGGAGTCTTCTCGGCTGCCGCCAAGTCAGACAGGCCATTCATATATGAGGTCACTGTTCTATCGACTAGCCGGACATTCTGCTCCCGCCTGGTGACTGTGCGCCAACCAAAAGAGACGAGCAAACGCGGCCACTATGAAGACAACTTCTTACTCGAGGATGCCGAGGGGCCTTTGGGTGATATCTGTTTCAGCTGCATATGCACCTTCAAACGGCCAGAGGAAGCCAGAATCGTTTCTCAAGAAGAGCCACCGCAGAAACGCTTTGCCGAAATTCTGTCCACCAAGTCACCACAGGATTGGCCGTTCGCACCGGCGGTCGACGTGGAAGAAATCAAAGCCATGTTTCCGGATGTTGGCCAGACGACGTTTCCCATCGTCGACATGCGCAAAGTCGACCTGACGGCTTACAATGAGGGAAAGCCGGTTTCGGAAAGGAAGGAGCTTCTCTTATATCGACTTAAAGGCCCTCTTCCAGCGGACGATCCCAATTCGCATGTGGCCGTTCATGCGTTCGAGTCTGATCGCAACGGATTATTGATGATAGGCAACCATGTTGGTCTCGGATGGAGTCTAGGCACCGCGGCCAGCTTAACGTACAAGTTTATCGTTCATGTCAATGTCGACCAAGCCGTGATGAAAGACGATGGCTGGTGGATTCAGGAGGCATCGTTTCCCCGGACCGGCCAGGGTCGAGGGGCATTGGTCTGTAAGATGTGGAGTCCTGAAGGCATACATGTCGCCACCGGATATCAAGACGGCATACTTCGAGAGCGAAGAACAGATGGTGATAAAATAAGCCAGAAGCTATAATGAGATGCTACAGCATAGACTTATGAAGGGCTCAGTTAGAACAGTGTAAGCTTGAATAGATCTGACATAGATGAAACAGAAATGAGATACAGTCAGGAGATGCATAACTTGCTGTTTCCTTTATTATTTGAGTTGATTTTTCTTGACTAAGTTAGGGGCCATCTCACCGTTGGTATCTTGTCATCTTCCTTCTTAGAGGTCGCAAAGGAAGGGCCATAATCAGTCGAAGGGTCCCTACATATCTACCTTACAGATTGCTCAAGAGGAAAGATTGCATTTGCACAGAATCGCTCTTACTACTTCCTCATTTATAGATGACTGAAAGGAAGGATCGCATGAGTTTCAAGATCGTTCCTACCATCTCCTTTACAGATCGCTCAGAGGAAGGATCGCACTGCTTTGAGATCGTTCTCACGTTGCCCAGTCTATAGATCGCCAGAAAAAAAGGATCGCACTGGTTTCCAAACGTTCTTGCCATCTCCTTCTACAGATCGCTGAACGGAAGGATCATCATTATATAAGGTAAGATCGTTCTTGCTGTCTCTCTCTATAGATCGTTTAATGGAAGGATCGCTCTGGTTTGCAGACGTTCTTACTATGTCTCCTTTGCCTCCTACCGTTTGAGGGTAATGATTCCCTGAACTATCCCGTCGTTCCTACCCTCACTAGTCGTGACTTCCGTACCGATGTCTCCTCTCATTCGCATCTACGTTCCTTCTCTCACAGCCTCTCCCGGGCCCTCTATAAAACCCACGCTACCTTTCCACCTCTTCTCCCATTCACCACCAGAATCTTCCAGCCTCGGTGCACCACTCTGATTGATTCTTCCTCAGCACACCGCACCTGGGTCTTTTGCCTTAAGCACTCCACAACAATTAGCCCTACCCTTCCAAGCTCACGACTGGTATTCTCATTGATGATATTTACGACTCATCATCTGTGACATTTCTCAGCATCTTTATGAGCTCGGGTGGTTTGGCGTACGTTATTCACCTAGCATCTCATACCGTTTGCCCCTACTTTGAACTCTCCGACACACAGATTGGATTTCCTTTTTGCCACATCCCGACCATTCTTCATTTGTTTGAGACTACTATCAATCGCTGAGATCATTTGGGTAAGCAAATTGTTCATGCTATAAATGTCTCGCAACTGCTAACTCGTATTCGGCAGACAGGATTCGGAAGCCACGATGGACCCGACTTCACCCTCGTACAATAGTGCGCCTGTCCGGAGATCGCAATTGCTCACGTCTATCTCAGAATTGAGACAAGGGATCCAAGCTGCTGAGGCTCACATTGATCGCACCGAGAACAGGATCTCGTACAAAGAGGACTGGCTCCAAGAGCTTAAATCTGAACGCATTGCCGCTGATATCCCTAAACCGGCAATTGACAAGGCCATCAAGCAGACACAATCACGCATCAAAGAGATCGAAGAGACTCTTACTGCGAAGAAAGATGAGATCGCACTTCTGAAAAGCAAGCTGAAGAAGAAGGAGACAAAGCTTGCAGCGATCCCACAAATCGAGTCATCCAATGCGCCCAATCCCAAAGACAACGAAGATGCGGCAGCACTGCTTGAAGTCACAGCCACCCCTGTGAATGCCATCTTCACAATCAGTGAAGACGGCAAGACCTACACCAACCCGCCCATGCTTCGGGGTGTCCCAGTCGCACCCATCAGTGAAACCGGCTCATACTGGAACCCTTTGTGGAAAAAGTTTGCAGAGGCAGTCAACGAAGAGAAGGTGGAAAGGGATTATCAAGAATATCTCTCGAGCAGACATCAGCGAATGCTCCAAGGACCCCTCCCAGCATCAGAGGATGACCCAGAGCATGTCTTCAAGAGATACCAGCGCAGCTTGCGGCAAGCCAAGGTCACAAAGCAGTGGTTCAATCCGGGACACACGATCCACCCCAATCAACTCATGGCAAAGGAACACTTGCCTGCGACCGGGATCTGCGACAACTATGTTCTCTACAAGATCTGCAACATCCTGAGTCGGGTCAATGCCATGTATGAGCGCGGAGAGCTGGGAATGCCGCCTATGCACTTCCTCATGTGGAGGATGAGTGTCTCCCTGGAGCGCTTTCCGCACGACCCAATGAAGTCATTCTGGCGCGTCATGGTTAACAAGAACCACGGTGCTTACGACAGTATTCTTCGGCAAGCTGAGATCAGAGGTGCACAGCATACCGGTGACTACAACTTCTACTTAGGTCGATGGAAGCAGGCATCTTCTGCCAGAGAGCAGACCCATTCATCCGCATTGACTGGTAGCAGATCAGCCGCCCCTGACGCAGCAACTGCACAGCCTGGAGCAGGTGTCCATGAGGTCTTTGCCCAGCAGCAGCAGCAGCAGCAGCAGCAGAAACTGCGTGAGCCTGTTTCTAACCTTGCCCTGAACCCGACAGAGGCGTTGAGGTCGCAAATGCAGATGCAGACATCCTCCACACAAGAAGAAGGACGGCGTGTCAGTGATCGACGCAAGACGCGCCACTCTTCAGAGGCGTTCGATCAATCGACCTCTGATCACGACGGTAGCCACTCACGCCCTGCCAAGAGGCAGCGTCAGTTGCCACTGTTCACAGAGGATCGTCTTGCAGTTCGAAGCAGACCATCTGCTGAGGGCATGGTCTCGGGCCATTCCTTGATCGGACCCATCATGGAGACCGAGCCTCCTATGGATCTTGAAGCGAAGATTGGACATGAGGCTCACACTCAGACATCTACATTCGGGGCTGCAAATGCCTTGATGGAGGAGGAACTTCAACTGGTCAGCTTCGAGAAGAGCATGGCCGATAATGATGATTTGGCAGCCGAGGCAACGGCTCCGATTCCACAAACTACCAGCATCGAAACCCCAGTCGATAATCGCGAATGGATTGACATGTTTGTCGGCTCAGAAGAGATCAGAAGGCAGATCCAGCCCACAAACATGGAGGCCATCAGAGCTTCAGTCGGAGAGAGTCCTTTCCCGAAGGGTACTGGAAGAAGAGTTTCTCACGGATTTGTCTTCCCCTGGTACCACAGCGAGGAAGCTCAGAAACTGGACGAATTGGGATTCCCTTTCTAGACGCGACTGAGTCAGGCATCTATCTCTATGGGAACAAGCATCTTTATGGGAGGAAATAATTGGCATGGGAGTTGGATGGAAGGATGGTGACCGACTCGGATAGGCATTCAGGTCGGAAGAGTGACTTTTTTCCTCTATTGCTTTATTCTTGATTTTTTTTTCCTTTTGCTTTGAAGAAAGCCTCCGTCGCGGTCTTGGGCCATCTGGCTACTGAGAATGGCGGACTTGGACGATGACCAACTCAGATGGGCTCTCAGAGAAGTAGCTGGGTTTCTGAAGAACAACCTCGTCACAGCTCTGGGCCATCTGGTTCCCCAGAGAGAAAAATGGCCGGTGGACCGCTTCAGTTTAGCATGATACCTTTGAAATAGAATAACGTCCAAAAAATGGTGCCAGTCGCATCCTTTGTAGTCCGCATCTGAAAGCGGCGCGGATGAAAGGGGACGAAGCTATCACGGCTCTGTAATGCTCCAGCTCTCATTTGGTAATCTGTCCATCACGTGATGCTCTGTCGCTTACGATTCCGGTTATGGCAAGTACCTTGGTCAGTGCTCTCTCTGCGGTGTCTCTGACTGGTAGTTCCCCGTAGCTTACCCGACAGCCGCAACATCAAACCATCAAATCAGGCCATCGACAAATCCCTCTCTCTTCACCCAAACCCGACGTCACAACAACGAACCTCTCCTCTCTACCACCCCAATTGCCGTCGCTATGTTTTTGCAGCGCTCCGCCATCATGGCTGCCCGCCGGGCGGCCGTCGCTCCCCTCGCCAGACGCACCTTCGCGACCTCCATGATCCGCCGTACGAGCCCCAATTGAAGGCCCCCTCCCAAATCCCGAGAAGAAAAAAATAAGCCTTACAGCGAAGCCATTCCGAAAGTTCCCTTATCGCTGACTCTACGGCCATCCGCGGCCACAAACAGGCGACGCCAACTCCTCTACTCCCGCCAAGCCCTACAAGACCATCACCGGTAAGGTCTATCGAGCCAATTGATTCCAAATCATCGTCGTTTCCGTCCCGGCGCGGTTCCCCGGAATGCCCAAAGCCCGACCACATGCATCCCTTCGGACCGCGTCGTACGATCGAAGCGACGCACCAATTTCGAACGACTTGGAAGATGAGAACACGAGGCTAATCATTTTCATTGCAACAATACAGAGATCAAGGGCGAGGACGACCTTCACGGACCTGGTGCCAAGCCCGGCAGCATCCCCACCGATCTCGAGCAGTCCACCGGTCTCGAGCGTCTCGAGATTCTCGGAAAGATGGAGGGCGTCGACATCTTCGACATGCGCCCCCTCGATGCCTCCCGCAAGGGTACGCGATTGGCCCCTCTTCGAAATTCAAGCGCGAGCACGAAATCTAACTTCATCAATTAGGCACCGTCGAGAACCCCATCCCCGTCCGTTCCGCCGGTGAGGAGCAGTACCTCGGCTGCACCGGTGTCCCCGTCGACTCCCACGTCACCATCTGGCTGACCGTACGTGCCCATGGACCCGATTGAGCTGCCCAAAGAGCTCCGTAACCTGACCAAACATGCATAGATCTCCCGCGACCGCCCTATCGAGCGCTGCCCCGAGTGCGGCTCCGTCTACAAGATGGAGTACGTCGGTCCCACTGATGACCACCACCACGGCCACGACCACCACCACGGCTACGAGGAGCCCAAGACCTTCGCCGACTTCGTCAAGCCCGAGTACCGATACCAATAGATGCTTTCGCAGATGGCGAGCATGTAGCAAGGAGACTGGAGGCGAGACGGCATCGGGGTTGCTCTAGAGTGAGCATGGCAGATGTGTAGATTACCTTAAGTTGTGGCTGTATAGAACCTTTTTCTCCCGAGTCCTGTCTCATGACTCCTCGCGAGTGTTGTGTGACGCCAGTCAGGTCGTTGTTGTTTCGAATCGCGGCCAGGACAAGACGAAGAGCCGCAGCTCGTGTAGCTTGACTTGCTCCCTTGCGGATCGGTTTCCTACTCTTCCCGCGTGTCTACGTTGTATTTGATGGTGACGATGATGTCCGCCCTGATCATAGCACGCCTCATTCTGGATCGAAGCTAAGCTTGATCTTCTTTCCCTTCTTCTTAGCAGGCTTCTTCTTGGCGCCTTCGTCGTCGTCACCATTCTTCTCGCCCTTGGTCACGATCTTGTTGGCGACAATATCCTCGTCTGCATCACCGCCAACAACCTTGCCAGCCTTCCTCTTCTTGCTCGCCCCAATCCCAGCAATCTTCTCCGTCTCCCTCTTCTCCTCCTTGTTATCCTTCCCTACCCCCTCCTCCTCCTCCTCCTCTACTCCATCCTTCTTCAAAGCATCCGCCTCGACGCCACCATCCTTGTCCACCCGTACATCGACGACATTGCCGTCGTCATCCACGACCAGCGGCGCGTCTTCTGCCTCTTCGCTGTCGGAGCGCTTCTTGCCCGCTCGTCGCCTTTTCGAGAGGATCTCGTCTGGGCCTCCGTTCCCTGCTGCTTGTGCTTGGAGAGCGCGCAGAAATGGCGGGATGTTTGTGTCGTAGGACAGGTTTTTGCCGGTGATTTTGTCCGACATGGCGGCGGCGGGCGCGAAGCCAATGAGGCGCCTTTACTCGAATTTCGTCTAATTCTTGTGATGGTTGAGGCCGCAGATTCAAGATTAAATCAGTCGCTGCTTTCTCGGCGGGGAATGCAACCGTGACTGGACCGACGTGGGCAGAGAGTGTGCGATAATGTTGGTGAAGCAGCTGTTGTCAAATGCCAGTCCTCGCGGTCATTCGCACCTTTAGTCCTTGAGCTGGTGGAGACAGTGTTCTTCAGCGCTCAATCAGCATCTTTAGCGGATAACGCATCCGGACCTCGCTGATCTACAGTGAACAAACGCTACCTTGCTCCGCCAAACAGCAGACGGGACCCATCCAGGTTACCGCGGAAAGACTCGACTGCAGTACACAACTTCTCCTCTTCTCAACTACCACTCCACCAAACACAGCACATTCACATCACGTATGCAAGCAAGAAGGGTTACCCTCCCAGATCAAAAATCTGTATTGTTGAAACTTTTGAAGAACGAGGTCACTAACCCTAGTGACTTTGGTATCTAATGCAACGAAAAGAACCTCCCTAAAATCAAGCGGGTTCATGTCTGTACCAGCCAACTCATGGTTGCCGCTCTCCAACGCCGGGCCGTGTAACGCCAGAGCCAATGCCGTAGAGAACCTGCCAAAGGGAACTATTCCCTTGATACGCAAAGAAAGACTGTGATAAGGCACACGTAACGCCATTGAGATCTTAGACGATCTGCTGGATAAAGGTAGGACCCATTGTCACGTCGGCCGAAAGAAAGTTCGTAACCGGGAGGGACGCGATGGGCACAGCAGTCAAAGTGCCAGTGTCCTCAGCACGGCTGAGCGCCAACACACCCTCTCCAGTACCATCCGTGGTGTCGAGCACATTGGTAGAGAAGAGCGTCTTCTCATCCTTGGAGAAGCTGAACATGCGGGGGCTGATGCCGCCAGAGGAGATTTGATCGACGAACTCGAGAGTGATGCCACCGGCCTTGGGCTTGCACTTGGAGCCACCGGGGGCGGCCTGCTGAGTGATCTTGAAGTGGGAGATGGAGTCGGTCGCATTACCGCTGTTGCGGTTGGAGACGTAGGCGTGCTTTCCATCAGCCGAGATAATAATCTCGCCAGCGGCAGCGGTGGTAGCGTTGGCGGGAGGGAACGCAGCGCCGTAGGTGCTCAGCTCCGAGGTATGAGTAAGGGAGAGGGAAGAGCCGTTGGTGGTAGAGACAGAAAAGACCTCGAGGGTGTTGGTGAGCTCACAGGCGACAACGAAGGCAGTAGGCGTGCCTCCGTTCTGAGGGTACCAGGCGCCGTGGCGAGGGCCACAGCCAGCTCTAGAGACGCTGTTGCGAGACACAACCTCGAACTTGTCATCCTGGGAGTCGATGATGGAAATGGAGTCAGTACCGAGGTCGCAGATGGCGAAGTAGCGACCAGAGGGATCAAGAATGGCCTGGTGAGCGAAAGACTTGGTCTGACGCTCCTTGTTGGGACCAAGCTCGCCACCGAGAGTGATGTTCTTCATGTACTTAAGAGCGCTGGCGTCAGAGATATCCCAGACGTCAACGGTGCCACCGGTGCTGAGTGATATTAGTCAATGACACTCTCGAAGAAGCTAGAATAATAGTAAAACAACAGAAGCAAGTGGTACGTACTAGGAAGCGCCAACGAGGCGAGTCTTGTCCTTGTTGAACGCGATGGAGACGACACCCGCAGCGCCCGTAGCCTCAGCAGCGAGCTTGAGGTCGTTGTTGGTGGTGTCAAGCTAGAAAGAATCAATAAAAAATCCCAAGAAGCAGGAGTGGGTTCAAAGACTGCTGAAAGTTAGAAGGAGAGGTGACTTACAGTGAACAGACGGAGGTTGAAGGCATTCTCGTTGACAGCGTAGAGAAGGTTGGGCTCCTTGAAGGCCATCCAGCTGGGACCAGTTCCCTCGGTGGTGTTACTGCCCACGATGTTGAACGACTTGCCATCGTAGTCGGCGACAGAGATGGTGTTGGTAGAGCCAATGATGACCTTAGCCGAAGCGGCGGGAGTGTCCTGGCGGCCGATGACCGCAGCAGAAGCAGCCGCAGCCGTAACGATGACCGAAGTGAAGCGCATCGTGATGATTTGTGTGAAGTTGAAGAGAAAGAATGAGTGTATTAAGTGATCGGTATTGAGCAGTCAGAAAAAGAAAGTGGAAAGAGTGAAGTGCGAAGTGTGAAGTGTGTGGTGGAAGAAGCAGAAAAAAGAGTAGAGACTGGTGAGTGGTGAGCGATGGTGAGAAAAGTGAGTGAGTGTGAGGGTGGGTATGGGAAATGTGAGGCAAAAGTGGTGATTCAGAAGTAGGTGGAAGGAAGGAGCAGCTGGTTGAGGCAAGGCAGGCAGGAACGGAATTTTTCCACGGAATTTCGCAGCAGAGGAAAGAACAAGGGTGATTCAGTTCAGTCCAAGCAGAGCTGAAAAGATTAGTGATTTGCTGGTGCTGAAGTGAATACACAAGCTCTGGTATTTCATCCGAATAATAAGAGGAAGGCCTGGGATGGTGGAGGCAGGAAGCTGCAACCTTATAAGATGGTTGAATGGGCAAGGGAAGTCCGAAAAGGCTGTGTGTGCGGCATGGCCATGCAGACATGTTCACATCAGAACATGCATAATAAGGTAGTCTTTGACTCTAATTCCCATGCGTCTGACTCTACCTTACCTTGGCCGGCCAGATCTACCACCCTGACAGACCCAAACCCCCAGCCATGGCTGAGTTGAATGAATGGAAGGGATAGGGTGAGATGGCATGACAAGCCCACCTCAGTCTGCTCAGCCTGGAGCCAAAAAGCCCGACATCGAACCGCCTCCACGGCCACCAAACAGTAACACACAAAGAGCCCCCCTTTCTCTGCATACATGGGTGTCTGCGTGTGTTTGTGTCACCGGGTTTATTGGTCTCAGACCCCACATCATCGAATCCTTTTGTAAAGAGTCTTGTTCAGGAGAGCAAAGATGCAAAGTGCCAAAAGCAAGGGAGGGCTTGGGGTCAGGGTCACGGCTTACAACGGGCAAACGATTGGTGGGGGATGTAAGATGGCAAGCTTATGTACCAGCTGTTGGTTGGGTCTGTTGCATTGCTTACTCGCCAGGCCTAAAGAGCCCCCAAAGAGCCGCAGGATCCCCCGGCCCCTGGCATTTCTTCCCTTTTCTTGATGCTCTTGGAATTAATTGCAGTCAACGTTTGACTGGATTTCCAACTTCCAGCCGCCAAATTTGATGGCAACGCGAGATGCTGCATGTTTGCCGGCATCTCCTCAAACCACATGGATGCAGGTAAGCGTGGGGATCCAGCGTCAGTCGAGTCCAGTCAGGTCTGGCTTCGAGTCCGAGTTGTCGTCCGACAGTCAACGGGGGTTGGATCCTGTCATCCCGCCCAGCCATCAGCCGCTCCTTTGGGCGGGCAGCCACAGCAGAATAAACAGTCTCAAGGCGGACTCCCTGCTTGAACAGGTACATAGTTGTCTGTCCATGTTCAAGAAGCCTCATGTTCATCGGGTTGGAGTATATTCGACTGTTCAAACTTCAGCGTGAGGCGACGGTCCAACTCGGGCTCGTCTGCTCTGCTGCGTGCTACTCACTATCGATGAAACAGGGGCCAAATGGCCACGGGATAATATCAGAAGAAGTGATGCTCAGTAAGGTACCACGGTACCAACAGCAACGTCCTTTAGGCGCTGCGGTTGGTCGCCTGGTTGGAGGGGCTGAGTGAGGGTGGTGTTTCGAAACATGTTCACCCGTCCTTGGCCGCAAAGGATTGGACGAGAAACATTCCGGGCATTTCCCATACTTTCGAGCGGGAGGGTCACTGTGTTCGACCCCCTTTTGATTTCAGCTTCTCTAAATCAAAGTTTCGTCATACCTTGTTCACCTGTTTATGAGAAACTTGAGGCGGAAGTAAGTATTCTCGTTTCTCGCCCCGACACATTTCATCAGGCGGCAATACCTAGCAAGGACGGGAAAGAGGAAAGAAGCACGAAAGATCTTCATCAGCATGCCGGCCGGTGGTCCGCCGTTACGATACGTACCGAAGTGGAGTCTTCCCGTCCAGCGGTTCCCCGGTACGTATCCTTTCAAACGCCGTTGACGTGCGACTATTCTCGGCGTGGCTTGCGCTTCGAGAACTAACCAAAAGCCGCGGTGACGAAGACTGCTCGAGACGACATGCGCATCTACATCCAATCAGCCAACCAACGTGAGATGGGATGGTAAAACAGCTCGAGGTGCATGGGGACAGCCAACCTCAGCACTAACACTGCAGGGGAGCGCGGGGTGAATGCTGATCCAGTCATCATCGCATATTTTTTGCCAGAGCTTGTCGAGCTTGCTTCTCCTTGAATACTACCTTGGCAGTCGCGTGCTTTACTGACATTGGCTCAAAACATCCAGTCTTTGTACACTGTTGGTGATCATGCTGGGATGGCTGGCCAGGGCTTGCTTGGCTGGCACCATCACGGTACGTTCTGTGCTCTGCCTCAGTATATGAATTCCCTGAGGCGGCTTGTTGGTTTGCCCATCAGAGAGTAGTTGACAGTTTATATACACGGGCGTTATATCTTCCTGCAAGTTGCACATCTCCGTCAGCCTTGGCCATTTCGTACACTGCAAGTCTTTAGAGGCCGTCGTCCAAATCAGCTTGGAAGGCGTTTCTGGCGGATCAAACTTACATCTGGGACAGGTGGTTATTACAAATAATGAGACTGCCACGGTCTCTGGGTGGGAGAGAAGAAGGTTTGAGCGCTCAACATAGAAGAATAGAGGTAGTTTCAGGATTCAATCTCAGTTAATATTCTATCGAGGTATTACAGAAAGCCGAGCAGTCATGGGTATCTTGACTCCAAGGTCCATCAGGTATTCAAAGCAAAAAGACCAACGCCCGGATCCCCCGCTGTACCGATTTGCACACTTCACACCCTTTCTAATCATTCGTTCCTACAACTTCACCTTACCAGGTAATAGTGACAGCCTTCCTCAGGTAGTTCGGGCCACCCGACTTGAAAATCTCCTCAAAGATCCACCGTCCAACGTCCTCCCTCGAGATACCGTACCCGATAGCCTTGGTCTGGACGCCCGTCTTGGGATCCTCAATACCCGTGCGGATTCGCTTCTCAGGTTGCGCACCATCAGACAAGAACGCGGGGCGGATGAAGGTAAAAATCTCGTCGCTCGCCACGATCCTCTGCTCCATGACCCTCTTGTCGGCGTGCGGCTGCTTGAGGAGGACGTGGTACATGGGCACCTGCATCAGCGGCACGTCACGCGCGTGGTCCGAGATACCCGTTGTCGAAATAATCGCCAGCCTCGGCTTGCCGTTGACACCCTGGGCGCGTAGCTTCTCAAGCGCGCCGAGGAGCGCCGCGGCGCCGTTCTTGCACACATCCGGGTCCTCGACCGTCATCTTGGCCAGATTGAGCGGGCTTCCGATGCTGAAGCTCACGATGTCGACGAGGCGGGTCGGGTCGGTTGGGTTGACGAGGCAGGCGGCCACGTCGTCGACGCTGTGTGCGTTGCCTTTCTTCACGACCAGGTTCGGGTTCTGGGCTTCGGGAAGGACGTCGGTCATCTTTGTTGGGTTGCGGCAGAGGGCGATGCAGACATAGCCGGCCTCGAGACTGTGCTTCAGCGCTGCCATGCCGCAGCCGCCTGAGGCGCCGAAGAAGGCAATGGTCTTGATGCCGGACATGATTTGTTTTATGAAGTATAGATGTTGTGGCTTAAGGTATGGGTAGGTGAGTTTGTGATTGAAGTATGCTCTGATAGCGTGCCAAGTGCGACGATGTTAATGCAAAGGATGATGATGAGTGTTATCAATGAATAGGATTGGGCTTGGCTGTTCGAGTAGGATGGACTAAAAGCCAAGTGAAAGCTTGATGTCGCCAAGGAGTAGGATGGTAGTGATGATGCTGGTGATGTTGATGATGTTCTCTTCCTTCCTCTCCTCAACGGCGAACTTGCCCAGCCTTATATGCATCCAACCTCCGTCTCAGGCCGGGCAGGTATGCAGGCCATCTGCAAGACTGGACCATCACATTCGGAAAACACTCGCTAGGTACAATAGCGAAAAGAAACAAACACGGCATCCATGCTGTAAGCTGTAAGCCGCAGCATGTGTGAACCCCAGACCCTCACCTAGCGCGCCGCGACTCTTCGTTCTTCGTCCTTTCCAAATCTCGCTCAAACGGGCGCGTTGAAGCGAAATATCGAACCAACAACGAAAAGGCACGACGTTGGTCCGTAGGGCCCGTAGGTGTAAATCGAAAAGGCGGGAACGGCCATTGCAACCACGATGTGATCGGCAGGATTACCCCTACTTTGTGGCTTCCAGGATCCGCATCCCCGCCCGTTCTCCATCGCCCTCATCCCTGTCTGAATGCGACTGTCATCTACAAGTGTTAGCACCCGATGTTGTCTGCCGCCTAATTAAGCGCTCAGCAGCATCTTTCACTAACAGTCCACTTCAGCATGGAATCCCCCCGACGGCCCAACCAACAGCCAAGCCTGTGGCTCAGCTCGCGCCTTTCGCTCCAACTCGCCAGACTCCTCGCCTCGCGAAACACCACTCTTTCGTCCTTCGCATGGCCCCCATTCATCCCGCGTCTCGCTCATCACTATTCGTCGCCTAAAGTGCTCCGTAACTTAATTGTCACCATTTGGTCCTGGGACATTCGACACATCATCATCGAGAATAACAAAACGCAACCAACAACCAAATCCCGTCCCCGTCCCCAACTTTCCTGTCCCGCGCCGCATCAATACATACCTCTCTGACAACCTACGCCGCATCAACTTTCCAACAAACATCTTGGATGCATCCAAGGTGAAACCTCACACCGCCTCGGCTGCCTAGAATGAGATGCCCAACAAGCTTCCGGGCATCTATCTCTTCGGCGGCCCATCACCGCTTAGCCGTCTCATTCCGGCCTTTCTGACCTCCGATACGCCCCCGGCCGCCGTTCGGCCTCCTCTCGGATGCTACGGCAGCAGCTGTGTAATGTCTCCAGTAACCCCTCTCACTGGATGCTACAACGTCAGCATTGTGTTTGCCTGCAGTCATCATCCATCTTTCAACAGAGACTAACCATTGCTTTTCCGCTGGACCTCACTCAAGTCGCGATGTGATAAGCAAATCCAAACAAACCCATGGATGACTTCAAGACTTCAAGCTCTGTTGATTGCGCAGCTCTACCATATGTACAGACACCGGCTTTGAATTCAAAGCTCGCAAACGGCCGACTGCATATGCGATTTGGTTGACCCAATCCCCTTACCAAATGAATGGACGGCAAGCGCCATTACCCAAAATACCTTCATAACAATGCTTCAAAGAAAGGAATGCTCTCATTACATACAAGTAGCCCGAATCGAAACCAAGCAAGCGCATCACGTTATCCATTATACCAATTTTTGAAACCCAAACCCCACATTCTAGTCTCTACTTCATAGCCAGAAGAGAGCAGTGGCAGCCACAAGTGCGGCAAAGGCGCTGGCGCCGAATGAGGACTCACGGCGGAAGCCCTCACTTGTTGAGCCGGAGCTGCCACTGGAACCACTGTTGCAGTCTTGCGAGAAGCCACTGTTACCGCAACCGCTGCTGCTGCCGGAACCGGAGCCGGATGAATCACCGGAGCCTGAGCCAGAAGACCCGGAGCCGGAGGAGCTGCTGCCACTGTCGCTGTGGTCATTGCCCGTGCCAGAGCTGCTTCCACCCGGAATCGTGGCTGCTGAGGCGGTAGGCTGCGCCGCGGTGCCGGTGCCGGAAGCCGATGAGGCACCTGCGTTCATGTCGAGACCCGTGCCGAGGAAGCTCTTCAGAACGGTGTCCTTGTCGCTGTCCACAACAGTGTCGTTGGTAGCCTTCATGCTGTTGTAGTAGTAACTCTTCTTGCTGTTGGTGCCGGGAGAGCTCTTGGCATTGTAGCAGTTGATCTCGACATCCTTGACCATGGCATAGAAGTATCCGTTCTTCTTGATGTCCTCGTGCTCCCAGTTGATGGGACCTCCGGCCCAGTCGATGGTACCCTTGGCGTTGGTGTCGGCACCACCGGGCCAGATGGACAGCTGGACACGGGCGGGCGTTTGAGGGAAGTCCCACTGCTGGGCAGTCGCGTTCCATGTGTCGGAGCGCTTCTTGGTTCGGCCAACCTGACCGTCTACCATCCACTTGATTTCATCGGGGGTCCACTCAATCTCGTACGTATGCCAGTTGTTGAACGTGTCAGAGAGGGAGATGTTGCCAGACTGGTCGTCTGTATTGATTGTCAGCATCCAGTTCGGGTCAGGGGCCATGGCAAGTCGACTTACACTTGGGAATACCCTGGAAGTAGTAGTTGGTCTGGGACATCTCCAGGTCGGCACCGACCCATTCGTAGTCGATCTCGTCCTTCACGTCACCATACAAGATGAAGGCCGTCACGACGCCAGGACCACGCGATGTTCTGATCTTTGCGGAGACACTGCCGTACCAAAGGTAGGTAGAGGAGGCAAGGACAGTTCCGACGCTCTTAGCGGGCATCGTGAGGAGAACGGCCTCCTTGTTGTACAGCGCAGGCTCACCTTGGGAAACCCAGTCGGCCTTGCTCGGGTCACCGTAGTACTTGCTGATATCAACGATTTTGTCTAGCGAGTTCATGGACATCTTCTTATCCTGGCAGACGGGGGCGGGAACGCAGGCGTCGAGCGAAAAGGACATTCGGGGATCACAACCGCCGAGGCAGAAGGCACCAGTACCGCATTGGCCATATTCTGCGATGGTCAGTGACTCGAATTTTTGGACATTGTAGATGATGTTGATCATAACTTACGGGAGCAGCATGGTGCGCTCTCAGGGCACTTCTGGGTGAGGGAGCATGAGGGAGGCGTCTGGGCGAGAACGGTAGAAGCACCGAGGAGGGCGAGGCCCATGGGAAGAACCGACAACATGTTGGAGTGAATGTGTATGGTGCTGGATTTGTATTACGGATTTACAACGGAGTTGTCGAACGAAAAATTGCTGGCAACCCGGAGGTATGCGAGAAGATGTCGATACTGGTTTTGCGAATGAAGTTCGAGGTTCGATGGTGACCTATTGGACTTTCGCCGCCCGCGGGTAACGGTGGGATAGTGTCGGCGTGTTTACTGCCGCGGCGGGGAGGAATTCGGGTGTCTGATGACTTGTGTATCCGTCTGTGACAAGGGCGGAAAGTGGTCGTACAAGGCTCGTCCGAATGACCGGGTCGAGATCGAATTCGATATCGAAGTTGTTGATGTTCGGAAGATTAAAAACAGAGTTTGGCTGATAATCTGGGGATCCCGGCTTCGTGATTGACTCGAGTCGGCGTGGGTTCGGGACGAAACGATGGCGTTCGGACGATAGAGGATGGGAAAAGGTTCGTCTTAGGGGAGCGCAACGAAAGTTTGTTTCTACAGGAAGGTGTAGGAGAGAGTATTAAGCGATGGTAGTATGTAGTAATTACAACGAGAAGCGCAGGTCAAGAACGAGTGAAGACCGTAGCGGACGAGATGAGTGCGTATGGAAGGGAAGAGTAGGTTGAAAGCCCAGGCCGCGAGAATTAATTTGGGGGAAGGGATGGGGAGGGCGGGAGCAGTGGGAATGCACGGGAAGTCAAACCAGGACAGGACACCAGGAGGCAAGCGCTCACAGCGCTCATTGAGGTACCTTACTAGGTGGTGACTGCCCGTGTTGACTGTTGGGTTCACTGTTGCTCCTACCTTGCCTCGACTACCATTTAGCGTGCCTTGCTACGCCTTAGCACGCTTGGGAAGTAGGTAGGTACGAAGGGGCAGCTACAGTTACGCTTACCTGATTTACGCTTAACACGGATGCTGCGCCTTCTTGCCTTACTGTGTGTGTCTGTATTTGGGTGTAAAAGGTACCTTACCCAATGGAAGGCAACTACATCGTCCATCAGCATCTCACCACCTTCAATCCATCTCTTCCATCGCCATACAAGCCGACAAGCTTCACAGGCTGTGCTGCCCCCCCCCCCCCCCCTTTCTGAATGCCCTCCAATCTACTCCGTACTACTGATAGTCATCAGACATCGTCTCCAGTTCTTCTCAGGGTCTTTCAGTGGCACGCAAGGGAGGATTGATGGATTCTCCAGGCTTCTCCTTCTCGTCTTCCCTTGGTCTCCTTCAACCTATCCGCAACAGACCAATGGACCTAAGTGGGGCATCGAAGCCGTTCCTCATTCCCCCATTGGGACAAGCGTGGCATCATTTGGGTAGGCAAAGCCGGTTAGAGCCTGACCCTGGCCCTGACCATGTGCCTGCCCGTCTCCCTTCTCGAGGGAAACCTGGAAAAAGGAAATACGGGGGAAACAAGAACTGGAGTGCAGCTTCTCTCCTTCCATTGGTACTCCGTACCTCTCCCCGTATGGTGTCCTCGTATTGGTCCAATCGCCACCTGCCCATCTTTTCTTCTCTGTGGATCCCCAAGATCATGATTTTCTATCCACTCACAGACCACTCTCTAATGCCTCTTGTCCTCATTCAGGCTTAGCTCCGCAAGATCTTACCAATACTTTCCTCACTTTGCCCACCAAATTGGAAGATCACGGCATCACTGATCATATCCCCCGTGTCTTCTCACCCCTGGCTTTTCCCTCGGCCGTCCACTTTTTCAATTCGATTGAGTCTTGCTCTGCAGTGATTTTCGCCCCAGGTGCTCTGTGCTCCCCCGGTGCACGGGGCAAGAGCGGCATAGCCATGGGGACCACGGAAAACATTCCTTTTCTCTCGACGTCGCCTGTCGCCTGTTGATCGCCTGTAATTGCTGGATGAACATGATCTGTCAGGCCATCAATGCAGCCATGGCAGCATACCTTTAGCACGTTGGGTAGCATGCTGGCCGTGTGTCACTGCATCCTCTGTGCCTCTGTGGCTGTATGTAGCTCTCAGAGGGCTTGCATCCTTCGTTGCACACACAACTTTGACGCTTCTTTGACAGGTGCTGCGTTGCGGCAGCCAAGGATCGAAGCACTAATAAGCCAGCCACCTACCAAATGTCAAGATCGCATCTAGCTTGGGACAATTTGTTGGCCATTGACATGTCGAATAGTAAACCATTGGCTTTCAAACCGTCGAGACGCCAGACTGAAATGTCCCGTCAACCAGATCAGCAGACTTGGCTGCATGACGCCGTTTCTCCCAACGTTGGCACATTTCATTGTCCCGTCTCCCATTGTTTATTTACTACATTCCTCGGAACCGGTCAAGCGCCGCCACATGCCACCAGCACAAAACAAACATCAAAGTCTCATCTTGTTTCCGCCGTTTTATCCGTAGGCTAGCTCAACAACGGTCACCAAAAACAAAAACACATGAGAAACAGCAGCATCATAGGAACTAAAAAGACAGAGATCCATCCTCACTCGAGTCTTGATACTTCCAATAGTGAATTGCGTGTTTGCCAATCATTTCCTGTCGCGATACGCCTTTCCCACGGGATGCTCTTTACGCACGGCGCACACGCATGCATGCAGCGCCGTTGACAGACGAACACCGGCAGCGAGACCCTGGCCTGCCGTGCTTATGTGACACGAAAGTGCCCGATAGCCGCAAGATCGCGTACTCACCTTCGGCCAGGATTGCCCCAGGCGTTCGTCTACTCTGCATCATGTGAGAACGCGTCTAAGGGTCCTGAGATAGGATGAACTCAAAGGGATACGTCAAAGCTGGCATTCACTAGTGCCGGGTAACCACGTACAGAGATATTTGAAAGGACGAGCTCTTTCTTACATGCTTTCGTACCTAGAATGAGAAGACAGCAATTGTGAGAACGCGTGCTACAAATAGCTCTGCTTCTCGATTAGAAAGGAGATGATGTATAGTCTTGAGATTGCTACCGAACCACCACGCGAATTCGTGAGTGCTGTATCTTGACGAATGACGGTCACAAAAGCCACGTGTACATGCCATTCATGATATACTAAACCTGTGTCTTGCTTGTATTGTCGTCACTCACAGAAACAGCGTACATTGCATCCAGTAATTCTACCACCGGGGACTTGCAAGTTCCAAGTGACACTCGAGCCTTACTGGAAAGGGTGAGTAGCGCGCGAGGCTGACAGGAGGTTCACTCAGCCGCCGAAATCCTGTGGGCATGATTAATGGAAAGTTCGTCCTCGGCAGGAGCCTCATGCAGTTAAATGGAGTTGACAACCGTCCAGTCTCATCAGTGAAGGGGTTTGATTCAAACCATATCAAAATGTTCGCTAGTGACGAGGATAAATCTATCTGTAAGAGACATACTGTTGGGGTGCGCGTTTGGTGAGACTCCAATATTGCTCTTCCTATTCCTTCTTCTTGGGTCATATCTACGCTACCTACCTCAACTGAAGGCATGGTAGAAGACGTCCATATCGCGGAATCAAAAGGTAGCCAGCATCGGCAGGTCAACATAGCGTATGTTCAGAATGCCACGAGAAGCCAAGGATATTAGCCATAGGAAGACGGGCAGCACATGTCGATATAAATGATGTAGGAATGATACTAAGCACAGCCACAATCAACTCCGGCTTTCAGTACCGGCTTATATGAACATTATGTCATTGAATGCAATGTCGTACATCTGGTCTTGTGCACTGGATGATGTGACTGATGTGAGAGGCTTTTTCATTCTTCCACGAGGATGTACTACTCTTTCAAACAGTCCAATATGAATGATATGAACACCTTGCCACGTGACCTACGCAAACAACCATGTATCTCGATACCGAAATGTATCCGTCTTTTCAAGTCTTCGGCATTGCTACAATTGAACGATTGATATATGGGGGGTGGCGGAGGGGGGGCCACGGTCATTGAGTAAATCATCATTACAATACCAAGAGTTCAGTGGTATCACCAGTCGTCCTAGCACTATACAACCTCGTGAGACTATGCTTCTTCTCCACCACCTCGACCACAATCACGACGTATACATACATGTCTACAGAGCTCAGTACATCCGGTAGATTGCTCATAGGTTCAGGGCCGAGATCAATGATCCTTGTCACAAGAGGCAACCTCGGACTGATTCTACGCTGACCATGAAGACCATGACATTATCCTTTTAAACACTAGTCCGTAACTTCACGTTTGGTAGCCTTGATTTCAGTCCAGCTCACATTCATCGTCACTGGACTTACAATGCCACACTCGGAAATCTTAGACAGCAAGTGGCCACTGCAAAGTCGCATCAAACAATTTCAATAGTCAATAACCTCAATTACTCACTCATCATACAGAGTCCATCTTCACCAAGTCCTCTCGCAGACCCGACGACGACAACAAAAACACAAATTCTCTCACACTAAAAGGGTATAGACTCGTCATGAATCGAAACAATTTCACAATCCCGGTAACCGATTCCTTCATCCTTCCTGCCATGACACCTTTCCCAAGCAAGCAACTTATTTTTGTGTGTGATGTGTCCTTGGACTTCCTCGACTGACCTCTTCAATCAGTCTCGTCCATACATCATTATATCCTCTTCTCCTCTGGCAATTAAGACATGGCATAAAAGGTGGGTTTCCGATGACTTGTGTTGGAAAACCCTCCGCACACATCAACACCATACAGAAGGTCCTCCCGCATACGTGCGCACGCGCAGACCATCTCTCAAACGGGTATGGCAATCACCCGCCATCACTCAACTTCCTTTTCGTGTTGTGCTATGAAACTCAGAGCACACTGATAACAGGCAAGCCCCGCAAGGGCATAACCGTCGTACATGAGGGCCAACACTCCTGATAGACCCATCTCCCCCACATCCGCCGCAGCCACAAGTTTTCGACCAGAAGTGACCGTGCCGGAGACGTGGAGCTGAGACGTAGGGGGTAAAAAGTATTAAAGTCCAGCCTCCAAATAAAAGAAACAAGGAAAAAAATTAACAAGTGCAAAGGGGGAATCGTCTTTTTTTCGAGTCCGGGTCGTTGTGATCGTCAGAACGAGAAAGAAGAAACACATTTGGTATATCCCAACGCATCGAGACACTCCCAGCGCCGTTTCGCAGTGTTGCCCATCTCCCGAGTATCCTCAGAACCGCCGATGGAGCTGAGGTTCCTCTACCGGTTGGTCGGCTTGGCGTAGAGGTCTACGAATCATTTAGTATCGTTGATGTGGATGCGGCCGTACCGACGTGATGTTGAGAGAGGGCATACCGGGAAAGTGCTCCTTGGCGTACTGTTCGCAAGCCTTGGCGGGCTTGCCGACCTTTTGCCCGATGACCTTCCACTTGTTGTTTTCGTACTCCTTGATGGCATTGAGGAGTGCTTGGCTCTGTGACCTGTTAGCGATTTTGAGGGAGAAAAGAAGTACAAGAGGCATCTGCTACGAACCTCGTCTTCCGCGAACTCTGCGTAGTGCATGTCCTTGTACCAATGCTTCTTGACACTACCCTCGGTGCGAGTAGGGAACGTCTACACGCTCATGTTAGTAGGCTGCTAGGGATGGGAGAATGGGGTAGTATAGATGAAACGAACCTTGGCAATCTCGGCCCAGCTGCTGCCGGCATCTCTCATCTGCTTCAGGCGAAGCTCCTCGGCCGGAGTCCAGGGGGTGTTTGTGCGGCTCTTCTTGGCCGGGGGAGGCTGAGGAGCCTGGGCGTTGGCATCTTCCGTGGCGGCGGGCTGAGCCTGGGGAGGAGGAGCGGCAACGGGAGGGTTGATCTGAGGCGGCGGGATGGGGGTAGCGGTGGGCGCAACGGGAGCGGGCGGCATGGGAGGGGCGCTAGTGACCGGCGGGGCCTGTTGAGCCGGGGCCGGGGCCGGACGCTTGCGGTTTCTGGGCGTCGGCTGCGGCTGAGGCGGGGGTTGGACAGCATGCTGCTGTTGTTGCTGCTGCTGCTGTTGCTGCTGCTGCTGGTGATGCTGCTGCTGCTGGTGGTGCTGTTGCTGCTGAGGATGGGGCTGGGCCTGGGGCGGCTGAGGCGGCTGAGGCACACTCATCGGAGGCTGGACCGGAGTGGGCTGGTGATGCTGCGGTGCCGGGCTCTGGTGAGGCGGCGCTCCGTACTGGAACTGTGGGTGCTGATCCCGACGAGACATGTCCTGCTGATAGGGGTGTTGAGGACTAGGATGGAGTGTTAGTAAAGTTTCATTCCGACGGGATCAACGTCGCGAATGGAGACGAGACTCCTGAGGACTAACGGCCCCTCGCGAGAGGTCGTGTCGCCCAGGCGTGCGTGCATGCATCGACGGCGGAAGGAAAAGGGTCATGTTATTGTTGTTGTTGTCCGTTACACCCTCTTTTGCGCCGCGGAGCAGGCCCAGTATGGCCGGGGTTGCTCAAAAGGAAAAGGTATTCCAGAGGTACATGTTCATGTACCCCTGGATCACGGGTAGGTGTCGGTACACCGTACGCAGCCTCGCGGGGCGGAGGAGGATGGAAAGGGAAGGGGAGCGACCGAACGAACGAACGAACGGGACGGGGGAGAGCAAGAGTGACTTTGGGCACAGGGACGAAAGTAGAGATCGAGGGGTACAAGGTGGATGAGGTACTTACTGCATGTCGCTAGGCTGATGGGTGGAGTTGGAGTAGATGTACTCCGGCACGGGGCCGACTTGCCACTGCTGCATGATCTAACAAGAGGTCCAAAGGTTAGTACCGTGTGTACCATGGTCAATTGATTCGCGACCCGAAGAAACAAAAGATAAAAAAAAAAAAGCTGTTGCGCCAGAGTCATGGGCGGGGCCCGCGCTGTGCCGGGACGTGAGGCGCGAACGCGACACGGGCGCTTTCCGACGAGAGGGAAAAAAAAGGGTACATGACTGCCATTGTGTGTGGCGAAGACAACGGTGATGATAGAACTCAGCGTCCGATAGAATCCTCAAAGGCGCGATGAAGACGAAAGTATGAGATGGAACATGATTGAAGTGACAGACAGGAAGAGTGAAGCAGTCGAATGCGCGCGCAAAGCAAGGCGTTGCTTATCGGGGGAGGATTCACAGACGTGCTTGCGAAGACGCGGTGAGGCAGAAAAACTTTGACGAGAGGGCGTCGACAACACGAGCGAGCCTCGATGAGAAAGAGACGCGCAATAGCATCAACGCGGATGAAGCCAAGTGTATCTGTATGCGCGCGACGATTCCATGATTGAGGTACAAGTGGTGATTTGATCCTCAATCGGGACAACGGGTGAAAAGGAACATAGGAAATAGGGTGCAGGTACTTACGGGCAATGTAGTGGTAGTATTAACTCAACAACGATGCATAAACCGACGGGTTGATGGATGGGGAATATTTGGTCTCTGCTCTCTCGGGGGGTGGAAGAGAGACTTGGACCAAGCCTGAGTCGCAAAAGACAAGAAGCGGGTCACGCACACGCCCGGGGTTGGGAAGGGCTTTTTTGGGCTTTTTTGGGGGGGAGGGGATGACCGATGGATGGGAGGGATGAGGTGAGGTGACGAAGTGACGAGGTAGAAAAGGATGGGAAGGAGTGGGAGTGGGAGTGGGAGGGGGGAAGGTGGAAGGGGGGAGGGAGGGAGGGATGGTGCGAGGTAGAGGCGAGAATAAAGGGGGACAAAGATACAAGGCGCGCGAGGCCGAGGACGTGTTTGCTTCAAGTACTCTTTTTTCTGGGGGTGGTTACTGCCGGGTTGTGTGGTGCGGCGGTGCGGCGTGCCTGCCTTGTGGTTCCAATTGACCTGGCTGGTTCGGGTCGGGTGGCAGGTGCGTTGCGTAAGGTAAGGAAGGTAGGTACTGTGTTGGTCTTGCTCTTGGTCCAGGACTCTCGTTCAGTGTGTGCGCGCGCGGGCGGTGCGAATATGTGTGGTGCGGGCGACCGAAAGCGACGTACGGGACGCGACAAGGGAAATAAGAGGAAACCAAATAAAAATAAAACGAGCACCTCAGGCGGCAGTGCAGCAATCAGTGAGGTGAGCAACGATAACAGCGAAAACCAGGTGGATCTTCGTAATGGACGGCAGGGAACGGCCGGACCTGGAGACTGGAGAGGAGAGGCTGGCAAAACCTGGAAGGCTCAGGTGTGCAAGCAGGTGAAAGGTGTAATCGTCAGGTAATTGGACGTCAGGTGAAGGAAGGTGCGCTGCTGCGGCATAGAGCGACGCGGCGCGCGGTATTCGTTGGCGGGAAGGAATGGGTGATTTCCCTTTCGGTGTGGGGAACAAAGTGCGAATGACGGCACTCCGGAAGGCAGGAAGCGGTGGAAGGCTCACAAATAAGAAATAGAGATACGGAAGGTACCGAAAGTTGCGTTGCCCTTGCTCTTTCCCGGTACAAGGTAATCAAGTGAAGGAGTCCAAGTAAAGCAGACCAGGTAAGGTAGGTGAAGTGAGGTGTGTGTGGTGTATCGCGAGATAAGGTCTGGCAGGTAGGTAGTGACAAGTAGCGGCGGAGCCAGCAAGAGGTAGCGTGATGTATCCGTGAAAGACGTCGAGGTTCAGATAGACAGGCGCAAGTAGACACGAGTAGACAGGCAGCTGGAGGCAGTGCGCGAGATGTGCCGTGCGTTGCTTGTTGGTTTGCGCGTAAGAGTTGGGTGCAGCTGGTGGTCGGTGGCGGTTCCTCGGATCAAGGGTCAATCAACAATGGACGGCGATCCTAAATGGGGCGCGTATATCCGTATGGGCGGAGAAGGCTAGGAGTAGGTAATGGAGAGCGAGAAGAGCAATGAAAGCTGTCTCGAACCGGTTTCTGGACAGGCGATGGCGAGAGAGGGTGAGAGAGAAAGTGAGAGATGGAGCAGAGACAGATAGGAAGATTCGGATACGGAGTGCCTTATTGCGACGCGATTCGGTGTGTAGGTATGCGTGTATAATGAGGTAAGACGTAGCCAACGTCTGCAGGGAAGGCAAAGAATTAGAAAAGTGGTGGACGTTGATGAGATAGGTCCAGTGAGTGATGCGTGTGTAATACGTGGTGGCAAAGGCGGAAAGAGATGGAGGTGCGTGAAATTGACGGCGCGCAAGTGAGGCAAGTGTGGTGACGACCGCAGCTATGGCGACAGCGACAGCGTCAATGCCAGATGGAAGGCTCTGTGAACGATGATGAGGTATGAGATGAGGTGAGGTGAGGTGATTGACAATGACGGGCGACGATGGTGGAGATGTCCGTTCCCTTGCGGTTGCGGCAACGTCAAAGTGGTGTAGGTGCGGATAGATGCGCGACAATAGGGTGGGCGGCGGCAGCGCGTTTGTAGCGTTGGTTGCTGCTCACCTTGGGATTGTCGTTGACCTTGAAGCTCTCAGAGCTTTTCGGTCTGCGTAAGTAGGTATTCTTTGAGGTGAGGTTGAGGTGAAGCGCGTGAGGTGATGTAGCCGTCAGAGTTGCGAGGTACCTGGCTGGGTGCGTAGTCGGGTACCGTGTATTCGCAGCTGTAGCTTTGTATGTAGCTGTACGGATACCTCGGTTTGCTGTAGCGGCAAGGACCTGAAGCAAAAGTGTGGAGGTGGAGCTTGAGCTGGTGCACACCTTGAGCTGATGAGGTCGGGTTGGGTATCCGTAGTGTAGTGCAGGTTGGTTTGGGAACTTGGGACTTGAGAAATGGGAGTTGGGATGCTATGGCTCGCGATGACCCAAGGATGTACCTCTGATGGAAGTAACTTCACAGTTCACGGTGATGTTTCTGGTCGCCCTCTTTTTTTTTTCTGCTGGGAGAAAGTGGGTGGTGGAAGGGGTCAGGAGAGAAAATTGCTAAGGGGGAGGGGGAGGACGAGGGAACTTGGAAAAGAAACGAGGGAGGCAGGCGGGGGGAAAGGAGGGGCCACTAGACGCCATTTTAGTGGGTCCTCGATCACGCAGAAAGTGACAATGGCACTCCGACTATTAACCGGCGAGCTGCGCTGCTTCCACTTTGCCAGCCAAAACAGCACTGTTTGGCAGGAAGGCACCTTCCAGTTTCCTATCTTGTTGCCTCGGTCATCGACTTTCAACCACCAGCACAGACCATCTTCCCCCTCGCTGTGCACGGATCACTCCAGCTTGTCACTCTACACTTCGTCATGGCCCAATGCTCAGTGGCTGCTCCGTGCCCTGTCCCTGTTCCACTTTTCCTCGTCCATCCGGGCAGCTGCCAGTTGTTCACCTCACCTCAATCTATCAGGCCATCTCAAGTTCGTTACTCCCTACCTAGGTTCCAGAGGCAAGTTCCAAGCAGGTACGTACGGCTGATGAGTAACGTCTACTTTCCTTTGCTAGCGATACGATCCGATGCGACTGTGAACCACGCCCGTGTGCTGCAGCTGCTCGTATCTCGTTGCACCCAGATAGGTACTAATTAGCCAGAAAGACAGCTACCTTACGCATTGGACACACCGAATTTGTCGGTCGCTCACCTCGGACCCTTCGGCCATGCGCTCCTGCCGTGTGTCGTGTCGCTCGCTGCTGTGCTTTGCTTGAAGTTGATGACTGAGGTCACTGGTCACAAGCGTTTCTTCTTGCGGGGAAGCCCACATCACCTCACCGCACCTCAGCTCAGCCACTTTCCTCATCCAACCTTCAGCAACGCGTGCCAGGCAAATAGCAATCCATCTGAGCCACTTTTATTCCATCTTGTTTGCCTGACTGAAAGGGCAACGGGCGAGGCAGCAAGTAAGGTGCTCCAACGACTGGTTGACCATTAACGGGAGCTGGAGGGGAAACGCGAGAGGACGGGAAACACAAGTTGAAAAGTTTATCGCATAATCTCTCAGCCTCGCCCGCTCCACCAACCTCCATCTTCACTTGAGCTTCTTGTTCTGGCAGTGTTGTTAGATGCGACCTGTGCTGCGCCCAAGGTCAAAGGTAAAATCAAAAGTAGGTACGTAGATACTCGTCGCAATTGTTCTCTTGGCAGCCTTTCTGAACTACAAGTACTCCATGTACCGCCTGCATGGCCCAAGTACTTGATCCTCGCTTTATGTACCTCCTGTTAGTGGTACCGCTGGTGGACACCGACTACAACATCGGACTCTGCGCGGTACGTACAGTACCTCAACGATGCATGTACCTTTCCGCTCATCTTGAGTCTTGAGTCTCGAGTCGATTAGGTTGGCTATGGAAACCGGATGGAATGGTTAAAGCAATGTGGAATGCATCTAAATCGCTTTGCATGACTAGATGCCGGGTGCACAAAATCCATCCTTAGTATTTCGTGGCCAAGTCTCTCCAATCCTTGCGATAATGTCATGTCGCTACCCCTTAGCCGCCGCTCTGCCATGGCGAGTTCATCCAGACAGGTAGCATTTACTCCATCTTCAACTGATGATGACGACTCTCTCTCTCTGTGCGTCGGACCGCTCACAGACGTGTTCATGGCCCAACAGTGCGCGATGCTGGCCTGTTGTCTTAGCCTTCATGTCAGAATGGGAGAGTCAGCTTGCGCTCGAGTCTCTGGCTGAAAAGACACCTGGGCGTCCATTCGAGTTTTAATGTTTTGTTCTAGGACCAGATTGGTCTGGGTGAGATCGAAAACGCTTTGCGCTAGAACATACGGTCGAGATACCATGGTGTTCAATTAGGGATGATGCAACGAACGACTCCGAGGGAACGTTTTGCTCAGCACGCCGAAGTTTCCGTGCGGCGATGTCCCTCCGATGATGCCGAGTTACGGAGCCCGCGGCCTGGCCAGCTTTCGTAATCATCCGGGACGGGGAACGGGAGCCAGTAACTTCACGGCAGCGGACCGAAGGCCCGACTTTTCCCAGGTCACATCGGGAGAGGGTCGGTGCCGGGGTACCGGGATCCTGGAGACCGAGCTGCCTCAGAAGTGCACGGTTGTAATCGGTTCCGGGCGCTTAGGGTTCCACTTGGCCGTGGCCAGATCGGGACGGGGAGACAAGGGTGCCCGAGATGCCGCGGTTCATCGCTATCACCACTCTCCACTTGCTGCTCCACGAGAGTCCCATTGTGAATGAACCCGTGTGTGCTCGTCACGATAACGAAAGAGAGATATAGATAGGCTGATGAGGCTGACCGCCGGCACATTCTGAGCGATTGGCCGCGTATTCCGCGCACCCACGTAAGCGGTACCCTAGGTACGCAGCTTCACCGCCAAAACAAAAGCGATGCTGCTAGTCTCCCAAGACAAGAATTGTTTCAAACACCGAAAAAAGGCGACGAAACAAGGTGGCTCGCCCGACCCTGGCAACGACCCCAGATCGCACCAGGCGTGAGGATGAGCCCCATGACCACCAAAAAAGATGAGCCCCAGGTTCATGCCAAGCTCATGTTGGATGCTGTCGTTTAGCTTCATGTTGTCGACAGGTAACCTAAAACGGCCTCATGAGCCCTGACCCGGCCACGTCTACTGCCATCCGGTCTCTCGCTTTCATGCGCGTAGGGCAATCAGACTCCGTGAAGCCATACTTTCCTTGCCAGGACGTGCATGTTCGTTCCGAACATGGACAGACTTTATGCCTCCTTGGCAGGTCGCGATGAGAGACCCCAGCTATGAAACGATGTTGGTCACAGGGTTCCGGCACCAATTGTTTGAGACTCGCGGCTCTTGAGCAACATATGACTGAAGACACGTTCACCCCAACGTCTTTGCTCAGGGTGGCCCTGGGCTCGGCCAAGCCGTGAATCGGAACGTTGGCTAGTGCCCGTCGCGAGCAAGTTTGTCGAGTCTGTCGATGTTTTCTCTCAAAGTGCCGTTTCAAAAACATTGGACGATGAGGATTCATGCGAGTTGCTGAGACGGCCGACGACCAGACGATCCAACGATGATCCGTGGCGTCATGAACAATTGGGGCCGCCGCTCGAAATCTCCGTTGCAGTTGCACCTGCTTTAAAGGGCAGAGGCTCACCCCCTATGTATTTTGGGGCTCTTGGTTTGAAGCAAAAAGGAGAGAACGTCGCATGGGACGCCTTGATGGAAAGCAGGAGCACTGGCCCACAAGGCTGGGCCGGCCAACCTCCACGTATTTACTCGGCCGAGTAATGCGAGACGCGCGGAACAAGCTGGGTATGGTGACGTTCCATTTCCTAGGCATCATTTCTGCACCATGTCGGACAACTACTTGAGGCCAATACGGGATCTGTGTAACTCTCCGAATGGTGATTAGTATGCTTCCCCGAATCTATTCGTCGATAAGCAGGTGTAGTATCCGACTGCCCGACAGATAGACCTGGCCTAATACACCAGGGATTCAACTTGAACGGTGTATGCAGCGGACAGTGTCCAAGCCGTGACCTGTAATCTCGCTCTTCTTAGCCTCCGTCCTCCGTGGATCACTTGTATTCGTAGTGTACTGTTGCAGGACCGTTGAGTGTGGGGCCGCCCCAATCCATCGGTCGAGAGATCAGACGAAAAGAGTATCGCCAAGCTTCTGTCAGGGAACCGGGCGTTACTGTTCATCTAGTCGAGTCCGGTACGGTCCCAGCACCAGGTATGGTGGGCGGATCTTGACGCGAATCCGAACCAACCATGGGTTCGATTAATGCGGCCGTTTGTGCCTCCTCTATGACATCTTAACTCCACCAACCACACTTGCGCCCGTCAACAATTGCCTTCGGTTGATGGCCTTCCCGAAGATCATCACCGCCATCACCAGATTGGAGTTGAGATGGCAGAGTGGCAGACAGGGGGCGTGACGTTTGGCGATTCCTCCTGGAAGGATCGGAGACCTTCTTGGTCTGCATTTCCCACCGGGTAGGTCTGGGTGCGGGCGCTTCTGGACTCGCGGGATGCGGGCGATCCCTTCAATACCCCAGGTATGCCGATATTGAGTTGAGTCTTCCTGCTCTTTTCCCACAATGCCGGCCAAAAGTTTACTGGCCGCTGATGATCCGGATGATGAGCATCCGCCCCGTGATATGTTGCTCCCACTTCTTGGCCGTATGGAGGGGTAAGGCCCTTTGTTTCTGAGCCTTCTTGGCTGGATGGAGGCTCTCACATACTGGTGGGGGATTTTTGGGCGATCAGGGACATCGACTGGTAGGGCCGCCAGGTTACACGCTGGAGCCTGGATGGCGGAACTTAATTGGTGCCGGGGTTGACGCTCGAGAGGATAATCAATCATGGTTTATCTCCGCTCAGTATCGTGGCTTTGCTAGAGCTCGCGGGACGGGGGCCAAACGGGCGGCCGGACGATGTTCATTGTGCGCAACGCGCAAGGAAAATGAAAAGTCCCGGAGCGGACGGCCGCAACTCATGGTTTTGCCACGGAGAATTGGGGGTCACGAGCAGCCCACGGCGGCAGCGGGCTGTGTTTCGATCTCCATGGCGCCGATGGTGGCTCGGCTTTCTCATTTTGAGTGAAGCTGCCCAAGGAACAGCCTGTTTCTGTTAGTGCTGCGGCGGCGAGAATGTTTCTGCTCCTGTAGGATGTAAATTACGATCTGTGAATCATGGTGGCTGGTAGAGGACGGTATATGACTCGGTGGACCCGTCCGTCAGGTTAGGCAGCGTGCCAGTAGTCTGGTTTGACAGGCTGGTAGGGCGAAAAGGTCAGACGAATCCTATTCCTGATAAGGGTAGACGTTGGAGGGCCCGAGACTGAGGTTTGGCTCAGACATGTCGAACTCTGTGTGTTGTGGCCCGGCCGCCCAGACTCTCGGCCATGACTTCTGGCGGGCGGCAGTAGCAGAATGGGGTGAGGGAAGCTTAATGGACGACGATTAAAGGGCCATGAACCTGAAAGAGCGCGCGTGATGAACGGGGTTAACGCTAGACGGCACGGTAGTGTATCCATACTCTGTAAGGTACTCCGTAGTGTACCGAGTTTTTGAGACTACTCCGTAGAGACTCGAGAGTAGTAGAGAGCGTTTGGAGGGGAGTGCCTGGAAGCGGAAACGCCCCGTTGGAGATGGTGGCATGGTGGCATGGTGCAAGCCAGATTCAGTTTCAGCAGAGATCTGTTAAGAAACAAATAAGGTTTCCTGCATTAGGGCCCCTCTGTTGTTTCTCGCAATCCATGTTCGTCCCGTCGGTCAGAGGAAGGGAAGGGGAGGGTGTGGATGGTCGGCTGTCTGTTCGCATCGTGCGTCTGTCTGAGTTTTGGGAGATGTCGTCGGGAAGAGAGGTGAGTGGTGGAAAATGGAGGAGGAAGATGGAGGGGTGACGAAGTCCCGGGTGTGGGCAGAAAGAAGGACGAAAAAAGAGGTTTGAGGGTACGTATCGTGTACAGTAAGGTGAAGCCGACAGCCACACTTTTGATTGGTTTCAGTCACGGGGTGGGCGGCGTGTGTGCTGTGTGAGTGGCTCAAGCCTACGATGAAAGTGGATGACAGGGTACGTGGAGCTGGAAGACTCGATGTGGGGGGACCATACCTTTTCGGTACGTACCGTAGGCCGTCAGGGGGAAAGGGCGACCAAGAGGGAAAGGGCTGAGACGTGGGTGAAATTGCGCCTGCTTGCTAGCGAGTTTCAAGGGACGTGGGCCCAGGACATGGAAATTCACCAAGAGGCAACAACGGCCTGGGATTCCCAAATGATCACGGCTAGACGAGCAAAAACGAGCAAAGTCCCCCTCCTCTGGAAACTAGACCCCCCTTCTGTACTCAACCCCTGGCTCTCTGGAGATTTTTTCTGTACGAACAAAACCTGCCCTCTCCCTTTAATTGTGCTGTCGTTACGAAAACAGGTGAAGCGTTTTTATTGCTCTCTCCACATCTTGGCAGGAAAGTGGTGTGAGTTTCAATGTTTTGGTGCGGCTCGGCACCCACGGAAGGCGGGGGGGATACTTTCGAATCTCAAGGAAGGGAATGTCGACAAACCTGCCAGTGCCTGCCCTACAGGTGAATTGCGGTAGAACAAATTCATTTATTTCGTCAACTTGTCACTTGTGACTGCCGGAGAGAAAGTGACTGGCTGAGTGGTCCGCGAACCAACCAAAAGAGAAAGAGCATGTGTGTGAGAGGCCACGTTGGGATGCCGATGATGAAGTGCGTGTCTGGGAAGGATTATTATCCAATGTCAAGTCTAATGAATAGCACTCGTCCGTGTTTATCCGTAAGTTTCCCTCATATAAGGTACGGAGACTTTCAATGACGCCCGAATGAGGGGTGTGCTAAGTTTGGCTGCGGATGGATAGGTGCAGGCATTTCAATTGCAATGCGGTGACTGCATCCCAGTCTGGGATGGCATCGTAGTGTAGGGCAGTCAATTTAGACAAACATGCCGCTATGCCGGGTGATCCAATGACTGCCATAGCAATGTCACATATGGGAAATAGATGGACAGGCACTCTACTGTTGGTTTCTGATGAGCGAGCACTTTGCACCAAGTACGCAGTGCACCAACCATGGGCCACCACGCCCTGAGAATTGTGAGTCTCAGAGCGCAGATGCCGAGGCGGCGTCAGAGAGGGACGAACAAGAAACAGCCTCATGTTTCGATGCAGATGCCAACGCCTATGCTTCTACTTCGCACCTTACAAGGACACCGGACACCAGAAACCAGAAACCTGGGCTGGACACGCCATCACATCACATCGCTTCGACAAGGTCGCGCGGGGTATGGGTGCCAGAATTGTTGATCATCAGATGGGACCACGGGAAGAGTCTATTAGTGCGAATACAGTCGTCAGCTGTGTCATGGTCCAGGGCGACGAAGCTAAGAGTATGTCTCTTACGCAAAGTTTCTTAACTGGTAGTGAATATCCGTCAGGATACTTGGTGTCCCATACAGGACGGCGCTACTGTTGAAGCCTTGAAGGGGAGAGCCCTGACATCAAACCAAACAGCCGGGTTGGCATCTGGGCCTGTCGAATCGTCGATACGGTATACCCTACCTCGTGGTAGTAGCGGCTCTGGCGTAATTGTTCCCATTGAGGAGGCTCTTACCCGGCAAGCCGCAACGGGGCCTAGTGGGAGACGACGACGTGGGACGAAGTCAAGGCGGCTCGAGCCTCAAGCCTCGAGGATTGACTGACTGTGATAATGGTGTTCCCATAATTGCGTCCGGAGACACCATAAGGTACGGTACCTAGGCAGAGAAAAGATTCACTCACTGTGAACAAAAGGACGGTTACAGTAGACAGGGGTATTCGGCCCCGCCGCACCGGTGGTTCGCAATGAGGTGGAAACTGCGGATGGGTCGTGAGGTGGGTCTCACTTGCCTCGGGAGCCGATACGTATCGACGCTACAAGTACGTAGCTACGTACCCGTCACGGTTGCGAGGCTGACCGGGGTGATGGCGGTTTCTGTTCCTGACTTGACCCAATGTAGACTAGTAGCCGCTTAGCGTGCCTTGCCCTTCTGTGCGCGCAACTCGCAAGGAAGGCTCAGGGGCTGCCGCGAAAACGGGCCAATGGCAGTCACAGGCGCGCCTCTGTAACACGTACCGTCCATCGCTTGACCCCGCCGTCAAACGTCAGACAGACATCCTCACACAACCTTCAGACACAGGGTCACGATCCCGTCACGACGACGACGACGACGACCACCACCACCACCACCACTGCCCGCAAGTTGCAACAATCTGAACAACACCAGCGGCAGCATCAACACCACCGCTCGCCGCCCGTTACTAGCGTACCAGTTCCCGCTCCTCGCCAAAACGGCACTTGAGTCTCGAGGTACCATCCTGTGTACACCGGCCATGCCACGACCGCCGGCGGTTGCGACGACCATGCCGCCGCAATGCAGCCTGCGCGTCCTTTCCTCATCCTTCTGCACATCGTAACCTACCGTACGGATACGGAATACGCAGTTAAGTGTCCTGTACCGCACACCGCACCGTCCGCACCTCACCGCACCGCACCGCACGTACAATACTTCGTACACGCGCGCTATACCATACGAGACCGAGACGAGGAAAAACAACCTGCTCAATACCCCGTTTCCCTCTCAATTGGGCATATGCCGCGAATGTATGCCTCGCGTACCCGCAGAGCCCCTGCTTCTCCCCCTCTGCCTTGTCCAGCCTACGGATACCTGCTCGACAACTACCTATTCGAATCCCACGCCTCGCTATCGTTGTTCCAAGAATTCCCTCTGCAAGTGCGAGACTGCAACCTTACGCAGAGCCCCAAAACGCTACAGCCATTCCCCTTCCTATGCTTCCCCTCCCTCATCCTCGCCAATGCCTTCGCGAGATCGACAGCGAGCAGACGTATGCTTATCGCGACTTGAGACCAGATGTCGACCACAAATAGTAACACCCTCTTCCTTGTTGCGAGCCACCCGACCCAGCGTGACGGTGTCAACTTTGTCGAGGTCTCGGGAGGGATCAATGGTTTGTTTTCTGAGTCAAGTTACCTTACTTTTCAAAACAGCCTTCGGCGATGCCATGCCACGCCATCCCAAGCCCCATACTATGCGGCGCTCTGCCACGCGCGCAACACGAGTATGCATCCTTACCTTCAGCAGTAATACCATACTCCGTAGAGAGAGACAGAGAGGGCCGAATTCTCTAAAGTTTCTCCTCCTCATCAGTCATGAACAAGATCCACCGACCATGTGCCGTGACCGAAACCAAAACCAGCTGGCGGGTCATCAAGATGCTTGCAACAAACTAGCCAAGTTGAGGCTCTGAACTGAATCTGCATGGAGCCCAGGTACTCACTCCCCTTGACGAAGAAGGGGAAGAAACAAATCGGAGGCACGACACCGCTCTTTTCGGTAAGGGAGACGCTACGCTGCTCGCATTTGGTGGCTTTCCTTTACCATGTTCCAGGTTTGCAAGAGCCTCTCTCTCCTCTTCTTCCCAATCTCTCTTGTTCTGTTTTGCTCCCCAAGTCTTCAATGAAAGCTCCATCTCTGGGGGGCCCTAGGCTTGGTCTATGCTCATCCTGCACCCGAGCCTCCGAGGCTACAGCTCGTTGCGGGCAATTATCCATTTTACTTTGGCTTGTCTATTGGCGGGCGCCACTTGAGTCTGGCTGCTCTCTTTCTCGATCCATCATGGCGGCCGGTTGAGACGCACGTTCGTCTCTCACCGGATCCATAATCTCGCACCCATGCCTGTTCCTCGTCCGTCTCCTCTTTCTGGCCCTGCCCTCGAACAAGTTACGTACAGGGGTGTGGTCAAACAGGGTGTGGCTTGCACAAGTGTTGCCGGGCCTGGTCTCGGTTTCTCTGTGTCTGTCTTGTCTGCTGGGTCTCTCACACACACACACACACTTTTTTCTTTCCTTTTCCCCCTTCAGAAAATGGGGATGGCAGCAGGCCAGGCGGATCAGACCAAACGTTATGCTCTGCTAATTCTGTCACATCCACCCCATCTTCTCCAGGGTCTGGCTGGCTTCACTGCTGAATATCTGCAACAGGGCTAGACTTGACGGTGTGCGACCCCCCTGTCCTGCATGTACCAGCGCCCGAACATGATGAGGCAATGTTTGCTATGCCTGCCCACCCGCTCTTCTTCTTTGGGCGTGTGTGTGAGTGGTGCCTTGTCTGGTACGGGGACAGATACGGTCTAATGCTGGTAGAGCTGGTCCCGTCTTGTCTCGTCTTGCCAGTTGCCAGATAGAAACTGAGAAGAGACTGGGACCCAGGGCCGACTTTGGCTGTGGCTGCAATATTACTTTATCCTCCCTCTCTCCCCCCCATCTCGAACCTTTTTCATCTTTCTGTTTACCTTCTCTACCTAACTTGGGTTTATCATCAACATCCCTTTTCTTCGTCTTCTTGAAGCGCAGTTGCGTGTCCTTCTTTTCTTCTCCCGCAGCTAGGGTTTTACTTTCCTTCATTGTCCAACTGGCTTGGCTGCACACACTCATTTGACTACGCTTCTTGAACACCACCTTTTTTGTCAATATATCTTGACCTATCCGGTTTATTCAAACAAACGAACTTCACTTCACTTCTTTGGGACCTTCCCCCACTCGCCTATCCGTTTCCTCTCTCCTTGACGGATCTGCAGAAAGCCGACTTCGTTGTTGCGAGCTTCCGGCTGGGACACCACCTTTTTTCAACAATCAACTTTTTCAAACCTTCGATTCGTTGGCAGCAAGTTTCTGCCTCTTCTTACCAAACCCAGCTTCCAGGACACCGCGAACAACATAACGCGTGAAGATTCTCCACCGAGAGACACAAGAGTTTACCCTACTTCTGAGAGGTACAACGACGCAACATCGACTGTTCCGAAACGATTTAACGAGCAAAAATGTCTCCCACGATGCAATTGGCGCCTCACACGGCCACCTACACTCCCACTTCCGACGCCATGGATCGTCATGAATATGGAATCACCAAGAACCGCAAGGCGGCTTCAACCGGAGGAGGCAGAGCATGGAGCGAGGATGAGGTATGTTTCACTCGGAGAGTCTAGGACTGCTGCGATCCAGAGTCACATGTGAGACCACAATGTCTAACCGTACCACAGGAAGTCTATCTCCTCCAGACTCGTCTTCAGAAGATGCCTTACAAGCACATCGCCGCTCACCTGAAGAAGACTGAGCTGGCATGTCGCCTTCACTACCATCAGCTTAGCCACGGCAGCAACCGACGCAAGCAGCGTGCCACCTCGGTCTCTTCTGGCTCTTCCACCACCCACTCACCTGTCATGCAACCGACGATGCCTTCTTCGATCCGAGAGTCGACCCCTCGTTCGGTTTCTCCCCCAGGCAGCTCAACCAGCTACGCACCTCACTCGCCCGCCCCTATGCAACTTCCCAGCATCATGGGCCACGAGGCTTCTCCCAGGCTCCCCGCCATCCTCCCTAAGCCGGTCTGCATGACACTGCCGCCTCCCACCGCCTCCCCCACCCGCGGGTATCCCACACCTCTCCCTGAGCCTCGCAGCGCGGCTCTCCCCTCCGCCACCTTTCAGTCCATGTCCGGCAGCCTCCCCATTACGCCACCCCTGCGTCTGGAGTGCCCTCTTCCTTCTGCCCAGTCCGTCGTCAGTCATCAACACGTTGACATGAACCGCCTTCAATCCGTCTATACTGCACACCGCGCCTCTTTCTGGGCCGCTGTGGCTAACGACTACGGCCCGGGCGCAAGCCCCGTTGCTTTGGAGCAGGCGTGGCAGAATGGTGCATGCTGCAACCAGCAGCAGGCCAGCACACCCATCACACCCACCTCCAGCCCCGACAATCTGGATCGCGATAGCTACGAAAGACCTCAAGATAAGACTCGCATCTCTGCCATTCTTGGCATTGACGCCAACCCTCGCTCTCCCCGTGAGCGCGAGTTGGTTAGACGCATGGAGGAATCAAGAGTCGGCGCCTAAGAAAACTCGGCACCGACCAAGACAACACTTTGATTCTACCAGTGTATTACTTTACAACTTTGGAGTGTCTGATTCTTGCTTGAGGTTTTGCGTCTTCCTTGGTGTGCAACAAGAAGACTACAGCATCAAGCCGCAGTTTTGTTCTTCGCTTCAGTTGGCTTCTCCCTTTATGAGAAATTCGGTTTCTTTGTCTTTTTGGTTTAGGCTTTTCGCCAAACCGTTTACCCCATCTTCATCGTACACGAACACATACGACTAGGGCGACTGCGAACTGTTGGGGCGAAATCCGGCGCAGAAAGGGGCGGGGGTTTTGCTCGGGAGGGGAAAGGTGCCCTTTCTTCCATTTCTTCATTTCATCTTCTATCATTTTGAGGGAAAAAACGAGGCCATCACCTAGGCATGTGAAGGGGATTGGATGCTACATTCCTGAAGAGGGGTGGTTGGGCACGACTGGCAGTGCAGAGGAGGACATTTACAACATTTCTTTCATCTTCTCGGGAAGGCATCTTTTCCACCCTTTGCAGAAATGAAGCGATGACTACGAACCACAAACACCTCGCAACCGTGGGGTTATTCCGAAACAACTTGTTACGGCAGTTTTTTGTACACTAGAGCGGCCCTTGGGGGTCCTGCGGGATTCATGCAGACGATGATTGCGTTGGCTTTATTGTGCTTTTTTTCTTCTTCAAAACGGCGAATCGAGAAATCAGAGTTTTGAGAAAATCTTGTTCCTCCTGCAGTGATTCTTAGTGACCTCGTCCTTTGGTTCTGAGTAGTGGTGCCACGACAGCTGCAAGAGAGAGAAAGAAGCAATACGATGAGAGGGCAGCGGATGCATCTATCCAAGCGTGATGTGTTTGGACATTGTGGGAATCACTTCAATACTGATACGATGTCTCCCTCTCTCAATCCTTGTCCGGATTAGGGTAACAAGTCGTCGAGTGATGGAAGGTTGTTGACGTTTGTCTGACAAGTGCTTTGACGATCCAAGCTGCAGTTTCCAATTGCCGATTCCAGACAAGCGCTTCGAAGATAACGTCCATACATACATGATCAAACCGTCGATAGCGTCATGTAAGAGCGATGCAAGACGCAGAAGAGGAGTTACCATCGGCAATTGTTCCCTCGCGGCAAGGTGAAGTGTCTCGTCCCCTTACGTGGTGTTGACAGTAAGGTAGGTAGATAATTTACGGCACTCTCTATCCGTACCTTGGACGAAAATCACTTGGGTACCTTTCTCTCCTTGCGTGAAAGTTGGAAATAGTAACAGGGCCGTGAATTGTCTCGGGTACGTACATATGGCTGGCCTTGCCTTGCCTTCCGCACATTTTTCCATTCTGAAGTTGAAGTTGAAGTCGAGATTGAGGTACGTACTGGCGCGGTCAGAGTTTCCCTTCACACCCTCCCGCTCCTCCCAACCCTCATCTTCCTCCACCACCTCCTCCTTTTCTTTGCTACACTAATACATGACTACTTGGCTTCGACCACCCACCTACCGTGTTACCTTATCATCACTCGGCCCAAACGTCCAAAGATCCCAAGGTTTCGTCGGTCCGCCTTGATCAGCAAAGCTCTGCTTTTTTGACACCCTCCGAAACCTTCTTTCCTCCCAACTCTTGAAGCATAAATGGTTTTGGCCTTGTTGGAACAGACGCCAGCCAAGCATGGTCCCTGGACATATTTTTCACACCCCCAGCAGAAGCGAGCAACGCAGAGCACGGCATGGCTTGGGTCGAAAGAGAGAGAGAACGGACGGACGAAGAAGGACGGTGCAGGTGAGGGGAGAGGGGGTGAAGAAGGAGGAGGCTTCGTAATGAGCTGCGCCATCCGTCTGGATTTCGAAACGAGCAGAGTTGAGCGGATAGCTCGGACGAAAAAGAGAGAAAGGTTGACCCCTCCCCTTGAGTCTCGACGAACGCCCTTCCATTGCTGTTCTCTCTGCCTTCCAACACTGGGGCACATGTCGAAACGAGCGAGAGTAAAAGCATGACTTCATAAGTGCATCGCCAGCGTTCCCTCGCCCTCGCCGATCCAAACGCAGAGTCAAACAGAGTGTCATCCCATCCCATTGGTGAGAGGCACCAGGGAGATACCCCCTCTCGCCGCCCAGTGTCCGAACTTTCGCAACACGACAGGGCCTTGGCACGATTGCTGTTTCTCTAATCGAAACCCTACTAGAGCAGACGACCACGTCCCTCTCGATTGATTTCGAGACTCGCGGCTGGTGGTGGTGTAGTAATGGTCGGCATTGCGTGCATATGAGCACACACACTCATACACGCACACTTACGATTCACATGCACACTACATACAGCAAGTGTAGCAACGGGCGGGGGAAAAGATTCAAGACGTTGCAGCGCTCTCCACGCCCAGACAGACAGGCGATCGACCGCTCAAGCCTGGGATGCGGGGAGGGTTTGCCGGATGACCCCCACCTGGCGGAGACTCCGTCAACCGCGATCATCTTCAGATGTTCTCGTGCTAAGATGTCCCGAATGCCTCGATCTCCGAACCGCGAGCCGGCTGGGCCCCGCCTCCGGGAGTCGGCCTAGTCTGAGTCCCGGCAGATCTCTCGCCCTGAAGGTTGTTCGACGTCTTGAGCCAAGACAGGGTCATTGTTGTAGCAACATCTCCTTTGAGCCACATGTCACGCGGGTGATCAGCGTGGGAATAGTTCGACTCTTCTCAAACCTGTTCTGTATGCTATGGACATATGGACAGATCCGATTCTGACGGTACTGTACGTCCACGCTGCGGATCGGCTTGAGCTCATCTCGCCGGGGCCGGCACCGGCACCGGCATTGAGCCTCCACTCATTGCATTCCGTCTTGTACGACAAATGCGTCTACTTTGGTTGGAAAGTACGTTAGGTGGGGGACAGCCCGATTTCCCACACCACGAGTGAGAACGTGCAGACTGGACGCCGCCATCAAAAGGTGGCACCATGCCTCACTCGGACACCACCACCTACAGACCAAGTCCAAGAACCAGTCAAGATGAATGCATTGGGCATCCCATGAACGCTAATGGGAGCTAACGACACAGGACTATGACGAGATTCGCGAGAAAGTGTGGACGTATCCGGGAGCAGCCAGAAGCTCTTGCGTGTCCCACGGACTAGCGCCATCTAAACGCCCAACTGGCCGACCTCTCACTTATCATACTTTGACGTTTTGCACGTACCTTCACTCAGCTGCAGCAATAGCCAGTTGTGATGCGTGGGAAACATGCCTTTCATCGGAGAAAATGCCGTTGGTGACGATGCTTCGTCTTGGAGCTGGAACTCATTGGCGTCTCCCCTTCTCACTTCTCAGTTGGCTCCTGGAAAGCTGGTCCGGCATCGTTCAACTCCATCGCAATTCATTTTCCGATAACCCTGTCATTCGTCAATGGGCCATTTCCATCGCATTTACCCCTCTTCAACACGTCCCATCCCGTCTTGTTCACCCGCAAAGTCAATTGAGTGTTGCTCCACTCCTACCGCGCGGACTATGCCCCGATTCCCCTCCGGCGCGGCTGGGATCACCCGACCGAAAGCTGCGAGCCGCTTCGTCTCCGTCGGCAGCCCTTCCAATAAGATGGCTCGCATTAAGCAGCAATGGATTCAATGGTGTCCCGAGCGGATCCGTCCCCGAGGTTTCTAGTGGAGTGCTTCACGATGTCCCTGCCGGTAGCCTATTGAGGAACAGGAAGAAAGCAACGAGCTCTGTTGGCTTTCCCCGCCTTCCCACTCTGCCCGCATTGTGAACCTTGGCTGCCGTTTTCGCTGCCAGTAGCTTTGCTCTCGCGCTCGAGCTACCTACTAGTAGTATGTACACAGAACACAAGTTGTGTGGTGGGTGAAACAAAGTTCAAAAACATGTTGCCGCCCCCCAGTCGCCCTTTTCCCTTCCCCGCGTCTACTGCTGCTCGTTGAATTATTTTCTCCCTTTCATGATATTTCGTTGACACCAATTCGGTACATTGGAAAAAACTTGGCTCTCCCGACTCTCGAATTCAAACGGGCCAACGCGAATTGACGCAGTCGTCTTCTTCTACCGAAGCGAACACCTATTTACGCTACCCAAAAGCCTTCACAATGAGCGCAGACCAAGCAGGCCACGCCCCAGGTGACGCTGAAGAGACCAGCTACAAGGACAGCCACGATTACATCCAGTTCAAGGAGCACCCCATTGAAGGACAACTCAACCGGTGGTCGCACACAATCACAAGGGAACATGACTTTCCCGGCGCACAGGTACGCAAAACATTCGGTGAATTCAGCACCGCCGTCACTTGTGTCACAGCAAAGTTGGGGAATGCGGGGTTGTCGCCGGTGATGCGGGGTGTCACCGCGGGGTTGACGAAACTATTCGGAACATGGAAGCTTACGATGTTATAGGCCATGCTGTACGGCGCTGGCGTGCCGAACAAGGAGATGATGAAGAAGGCGCCGCATGTTGGTATTGCAACAGTGTGGTGGGAGGGCAACCCTTGCAAGTATGTCTCCTCCTTTAACTTCAAAGTGGTTGTCAGGAGTGGCTTCGACTAACATGGTACTACAGCACGCATCGTAAGAAGATCCCTAGCTCAGAGAACGACCCATGGAGATGAATATGAAGACTGACAGGGGGAATAGTGCTCGATTTTGGCAAGATTGTGAAAAAAGCTGTTGAGAAGCAGGGCATGCTCGGCTGGCAGTTCAACACCGTGGGCGTGTCAGACGCCATCACTATGGGAGGAGAAGGTAAGTTAACCTATCATCCTTGACTGCAGTTTGCATACGACAAACACTGACTTGACACTTTCAGGCATGCGCTTCTCCCTCCAGACTCGCGAAATCATTGCCGATAGTATCGAATCGGTGACTTGCGCACAGCACCACGACGCCAACATCTCTATTCCGGGTTGCGATAAGAACATGCCGGGTACGATCATGGCCGCCGCGCGTCACAACCGCCCCTTTATCATGATCTACGGCGGTACCATCATGAAGGGTCACTCGGACCTTCTGGAGAAGCCCATCAACATCAGTACTTGCTACGAGGCCCGCGGTGCTTTCACATACGACCGCCTCCACGCAAAGACCAACCCGGGCACGGAAGGCCGCACCCCGTCCGACGTCCTCGACGATATTGAGCAGCACGCCTGCCCTGGAGCCGGTGCTTGCGGAGGCATGTACACGGCAAACACCATGGCGACCGCGATTGAGGCAATGGGTCTGTCTCTCCCTGGATCTTCATCATACCCGGCTCTGTCCCCGGAAAAGGCCCGCGAATGCGAGCGCGCCGCTGCCACTATCAAGATCACCATGGAGAAGGACCTCCGCCCTCGCAAGCTCATGACCCGAGCCGCCTTTGAGAACGCTCTAGTGCTCACCATGATCCTCGGCGGTTCCACCAACGGTGTCCTCCACTTCCTCGCCATGGCCAACACGGCCGACGTGCCCCTGACGATTGACGACATCGACCGCACCAGCAACCGTATCCCCTTCCTGGCCGACCTGGCTCCGTCAGGAAAGTACTACATGGAGGACCTCTACAAAGTAGGCGGCACGCCCTCCGTTCTCAAGATGCTCGTCGCAGCCAACCTCATTGACGGCTCCATCATGACGGTGACGGGCCGTACCCTCGCAGAAAACGTGGCAGACTGGCCCTCCCTCGACCCGAACCAGAAGATCATCCGTCCGCTCTCGAATCCGATCAAAGCGACGGGCCACATCCGCATCCTCCGCGGAAACCTCGCTCCCGAAGGCGCCGTCGCCAAAATCACCGGCAAGGAAGGCCTCACTTTCACGGGCAAGGCCCGCGTCTTCGACAAGGAGCACGAGCTCGACGTTGCGCTGTCGGCGGGCTCCATCCGCCGCGAGGACGGCAATCTCGTTCTCATTGTCCGATACGAGGGACCCAAGGGCGGACCGGGCATGCCGGAGCAGCTCCGCGCCAGCGCGGCCATCATGGGTGCCGGGCTGGATAACGTGGCGCTCGTGACGGACGGAAGGTACAGCGGTGCGTCCCACGGCTTCATCATCGGCCACGTCTGTCCCGAGGCGGCGGTCGGCGGGCCGCTTGCGCTTGTGAAGAATGGAGATACGGTTACCATCAACGGTGAGACGAATCGCATCGACGCTGTGGATGTTGACGAGGCGGAGATGGAGAGGCGGAGGAAGGAGTGGAAGGCTCCTTTGCCGCATGTGAGGAGAGGCGCTTTGGGTAAGTATGCGAGGTTGGTGGGTGATGCCAGTCATGGCGCCGTCACGGACGCGGCGGATCCGTCGTGGTAGATTGGTGTAGACATGTCTTGATATAGACTTGTAATTCAGTATAATTTGGGAGCCACCTCTTCCAGTGTACGGTCAGTGAGTGGACAGTCCTTACCCGGACGTAGAAGTCCTAGGATACCGTCGCTAGCAACTCGGCTTTCTCATTGAGGGCACTCATAAGGTTTGTTTTATACCTGGTTATGCTAGACTAGTAAAAACTTTCTGGACCGGGCTCGAATCATTCTTACAAAAAGTTGCCTGTAGCAAGTTTCAACTACGGCCTTGAATTAACCTAGCTGGAATCTCTCGTGTCTACAAACTTCTTTCACAAGATAGGCATCACAGCATGGTGACACTCATGTTTGGTAGACCACATGTATACCATTGGCACAGGAAAGGCTGGGGCTTTCCAGCATGCGCTTCTAACTTTGAAAGCTCTCCCGAGAACAGACGTCGATATTTCGTTGTTTATGCGTCTCATACAGCTTGGTATCCTTGCGCGCGCGCGGTAAAAGGGGCTTATCCAGCACCCTCGTTCTTCCTGCGGCATGTCTCCCCTTCTCTCTCACTATCCGAGGTTGTCACTTCTCCCGGTTTCCTCTGCTTTCGACAACTTGAAAAAAAGACTTGCGCAGCTCTGGGGATAACCTGAGCCAACCATTTCTGTAGCTTTCCACCTCTCTATATCATGCGTCGCGATTCCTTGTGGTGTTTGATGAAAAGGAAAAAAAAAGAGAAAACGATTATGGACAGTGGCCGAAAGCTTTGAAACCCTTAACTCCCAAAGAACTCGAGCAAAGACCTGTAATGGCGATGCCGTTACACCCATGCGTGCCAACATTAATGAGACACCCTTCTGTGAAGACAAAGAGTCTTACGTCTCCGCTTCGTCAATATACAATCCCTTTTTATGTCGTTTCCTCCGTGACTGGTGCCAGCGCTCGTATGCTGGCTATGGCTCGTGACATCGTATACGTATGCGATGCATTGTCGTTGCATTTACGGGCTGGCCCATCCACCGGCAACATCGACCCATTCAGCAAGGCACGATCCCTCCTTGCCCTCGACGTCGACAATGTCTGTGTCGCATCGGCATCTGCATCCGACACCGTTCTCCTTCTCAGCGTCCCAGTTTTCCCAGTACTTGTCTTCCTCGATACGCTTCTTCTCGTCAAGAGTTGTCGTCTCGAGGTAGGGCTGTCTGGGCAGCTGTCGGGCCGGCGCATTGGCGGGGCAGTGCTGGATAGTGGTGTGTCGGTATCCAAAGTCACGGAAGTAGTGGATGTCACGAGGGGAGAGGAGGGCGCCGGCTGCCAAGGAGTGGATGGGGGCATCACCCCACTGTCCAGTGTTAGCTTAGTTTCTTATAGTTCTGCATCCTGCGGACTTACGCGTTCCATCCAGAAGCCTCCACTGCGGTCCATCATCTCGAAGAACTCTTCGTACTCCTTGCCGCGGAACCAGTCAAGGCTGGCAATTTCGAAATTGGACCAGAAATGACACATGTTGTACGACTCGCCTTCCATAGCTTCGGGATCGATATCAGGCAGGTTGTTGCGGTTGGGGTCGGCACGGAGAACTTCTTCGGGCAGGGGAGACTGGTCGGTGACCGGCTCTTCCTTCTTTTCGACGGGATCGACGAACATCTCCCACAAGCCCTTGGACTTGAGGCCTTTGAGGCGCTTGTAGGCGGAAGCGTATCTGAAGATGTTGGGGACAGTCTCGCGAAGTTCCTTGACAGCGATGGTGAAGCCGTAGGTCTTGTTGGCATCGATCATGGCCCAGAAAGGATCACTGTGTGATGGTTAGCAAGTGAATTGTTCAACGATTTAAGTGTCAAAACATACTAGGTGATATCGCAGAAGTACTTGATCTCGGGCTCGAGACGCCAGTACCAGTTGTACTTGGCGAGGAGTTCGTGCTTGTAGAAGAAACTGTGCCGGCATTAGCATAGAGATAAGTGGATGTTTGTGTCTCTGAACCGTACCCAGAGTAAAATCGGCACATGGCGTGGTAGCTCTCCAAGCCACCGTACATGACAGCGGCGTCACCCTGCTTCGCAATGCCTTCCTTGGCGACCTTGTGGTCGATCCAGTCGGGGTAACCCCACATCTCGGGACCGACCTTGCCAAACTCAACGGGGGCGGAGGTGTAGTTGGTGACAACCTCCTTGAAGGTCTCATTGAAGTCGCCATCGTTCAGGAAGACGTAGGGGTAGTGGTACCAGCGGTTGAAGTGACGCTCAATGGACTTGATGGATTGAATGACGCCTTCCAACTCCTGGTTGCGGGCCAGAACGACGAATGCACCGTTGGCCTTGGGTCTGCTCGTATCGGGTTCGAGGCATCCGGTGACGAAGACCTTGTCGTGCTCTTCGCTGATTTTTCTGTGCACAATATCGTTAGGCTTGATCAATTGAGGAGAATGAGATGAGGTGCATACCTGATAGCAGGGGGAGCGCCTGCGGGCATCAATATCCTTCCAGGCGAGCTCGGGTGTCTAACGAAGAGCACGAGGATGAGGATAACGACGATCAAAGGGAAGAGGATGACGACGCCGAGGGGCACCGAGATGCTCGAGTTACCGCGGAGTCGCAGCGGTCTTCTGAAGAAGGCAAGTCGCGAAGTCAATCTGTTCTGGCGAGCGGCCTTTGTGGCAGGCTTCTCGTCGGCAGTGGGCAGTTGTGGCGACGTCGAGGTCGCCTTTGCGGCTCGTCTAAAAAGATCCATGGCTACGGCTGCGGCGCACCGTGGCCGGCAGTTGTGTGAAGGAGGGAGGTTGTGTTTGGCGGTGTCGTGGTGGAGAGATGTCGGATGAGAGATGGGATGGCTCCAAGGGTGGCGTTGAAGGATGTGTCGTCAAAGATTAGTAGGGCTGGTTAGATAAGGGGTGTGTAGAAGGCGATTGCGGTGCGATGCGTCGATTAATGGACCTGATTCCCTTTCTTTCTTCTTTGGATGAACACGCGAACCGCGAACAAATGCAAAGCCGTGTGTTATCGAAGCAGCATACGCAGGCGAAAAACGAAAAAGGCTGATTGACACGTGGGTTGCGTGGGCGATGCGAATTGCGAGGGGGTGCGGTACGTGAACGAGCGGCAGGGACGAGATTTCCCTCGAGCAAAGGCGTCGGGTTTGGTGGTGGTTGTGGAGTGCTGACCGAAGACGGGGGGTGAGAAGCTGAGACTGAACAGTTTTCAGGCTTCGCGTCGAAGGCGGAGGAAAGACACGGCACTCGCTGATGGAGAGGGTGTGATGTGGATGCGGTAGCGGAAGCGGAAGCGGAGCGCGCGGTTGCTTTGCTAGGCCTCGCTGTTGCAATCAATAGACGGAGTTGACGGTGAGACTACTACCCTCGTGGTATGTGGTCGGTTTTGTGCGTGTGAGATTGAGCCCAAAGGTTCAAAGGAAGCAGAAGAAGGCTGGTTCTTCTCTCCCCAGGGTCACACACACACAAAGGGCCTGACGGGTTGAGCCGGTTTGGGATATGATCAATTGCGTCGAGCAAAGGGTCTCGTCTCGGCAGGCGACATAGGTCAGTGGCGTTCGCGAAAAAAGAGGCGCGGGCGCTTGCGAACGCTATCGTGGATTGTCGCCGTCGTCTTCGCTCGTCAGGTCGGAGGGGAGGGAGGGTGTTAAGTTGGAGAAAGGGAAAGGTCGTTCGGCGGGATGAAGGGGGTGGGTTCGTGAGTGGGAGAAGAAAGGGAGTTGAAATCCGTCGGAAGAACAAGTACCTTAAGGAACCAACTTTTTTTCGGGGTGTGGGAAGTCGGGGTGTGGGAAGCTGAGATGTCACCGTGGATGGCGGATGGATGAGAGGGAGAAGGGAGAGGACACCTAAGGAGGTTGGCATTTTTTTCATGGCGATAGGGGAGCCAGGGGACGGAAGGAGACACCTCACCGTAGGCGCCTTCCAAGTTCCAAGTTCCATCTTCCATTTTACACCTCAATGTGACGGCAGGCACCATGCTCACGGCACCTGCCACCGCGACCACGCAATCCAGTAGCGAGATAGGGACGCCGTCTCCTGTCATGCACCTTAGGTTACCGGGTCCCTCATAGCCTCAATCAGAGTTGCGGTCCCCTAATCACAACAATGCCATCTTTCCTCACAGTTCATTCACTCCATGGCTGCTCACCTCATGCTGGGCTGCCCGTGGTCTAGGACTTGAAAGTTGACGGGGATGCCAGAGACCAGACCGGACTGGACTGAATCTGGATGGGAACTGCAACGACTGCAACTCGATACAGCCAACCAGAGCACGGCAACGGGACGTAGAGTGGGGTCGAGGGGGGGCTCAAGGTGGATGCGAGCAGTTCAGGGAACCTCGCGTCATTGGATAGATCGTCCCGCCAAGAACCGCGGAAAGGAGAAAGTGGACCCCCCTCCTTTTCGTCTGGATATCGGTACTCTGGGGTACGTACCGACATTCTCCCATTGTGCAATCTGGACTCTTTCCGTTTTCATCCAGCAATCACTCTCTGTTTCCTTCCATTATCAGTATCTATCTGCCCGTCCTGTCCAGGTCTACAAAGCACAAAAGTACGAATACCTTATGGACTTTCAATTCTGGTATGCCAAGGGCTTAGGTGATGATCCTGCATCCTGTCAGCAAAATTGAGTAGTGTTCAGAGTCTCAGACCTTTCCATGACAAGTTGCGTTGGCTTGCATTGGATGCCATTTCCCGTAATCTGGCAATCTGGCAGCTGCTGCCCTGGAGCTTGTCAGCTCCTGTCGCCTGCGCCACACTTCCCACCTCCCGTCTGCCCAATCGCCAAGCAGATAAATCGCACACACCAACTTCCAGCTTCCATCCTGTCACGATTCTTACGAGGACAAGTGTGGTCCCCAAGGGCAAGTCCCCAACCCGATCCTGCTCCGATGGTGGCATTTCGCACCCAATGGCAGCCAGTCTATGTTTCTAGCGCCACAACCGCATGCGACACTGTCATCTCCTGTGCCTCTTGTCGTTATCGACTGCCCACGAGTGGCACCAGCCGCACTACCTTATTCATGAGGTTGTATTTAAAAACCTACGCAGTAAGCGCAAGCCGGAAATAATACAGATACAGCTTGGCTAGCTCCGTTGATCATTGATGAGATTGATGAAGGCCATTTATCGGTGTGGATCGCCAGATAACCATGACTTCAACTCTAATCGTCCTGTGGGTTACTCACCTGTTGTGCATGACTGGTGCATGGCACCCATCTCACTTCACGACTTTGCGAATTGCTTGTTTTGATGCCACTGAATATTGATTGACATGAGGTGAAGAACTACCTACCGGTAGTACGCCCTGTCTCATTTTTTGCCATATAATTACCTTATATCATCCTCCTACATTCTTCACGCCCTTATCGAATTATCAAATGCTGAAATGGCTGAGACAACACAAACCTCCCATACCCTGACTGACGTATGAAATAGTAAACTCTAATCACATTGGGACTGTTGAGCCTTATTTACATCTCGATCACCAATTCCTTTCTCTGATTCAGAACACCCTTCCCCACATTAGCATATGGAACTTCATAGTGTCTCAACATCTCACGTCTTGCATGAGAAAGATGAATCGATGACTACCCCTTTTCTTACCAGTCTGATACTGGAGACTGCCTGGAAAAAGTTGACAGTGCTCTGCTGAGAAATGCCATTCCAAGGACCCGTGCTTCATAAATTACTATCTGACACCAACCTCACCCTCCATCTGAGATTCGTTAATGGTTATTGAAAGCCCTCACTTCGTCTTGCTGAACATCTTCTTCTCCGCAGACCTCATCTTCACCATGATCCTCTTGTATAACGGATCCTGCAAAGCCGCAGGCACCAGGTCCAGAAACGCCATCTGCACCGCGTGGCCCCAGTACGGAATCAGCACCGCCCTCCCGCACCCGACCCGGTCCAAGATGGCATTCGCAATAACCTCAACCGAAGGCCAAAATACCCGCGGCGTCATCAGCTCCGGTTTCGTCGCCACCGCCCCAATGCGCACGCCCATGACCTCGACATCGAACCCGTCCATCGACAGCTCCCTTGCCATGGACGTCGACATGGCGCCGAGGTACGCCTTGCTCCCGCTATAAAAAGACAGCAGCGGTAGCCCGTTGTCCGATAGCGACCCGACGTTGATAATCAGCGCGGGCTCCGACGATGCAGTGAACCGCGGAATCAGTATAGCGTTGAGCAGCGTCGGAAACAGAGCGTTCATGTGCACGTTGGCCGCAATATCCTCCATCGACGACTCATCTAGCCTCCTCATAATCGGCTCCGCCGGCCCGCCGCCGACATTGTTGACAAGCACGCGCAGGTTCAAATTCTCCAGCGGCGCAAGCATAACATCCCACGGCTGCTGCCCGGCTCCGAGAACCCCGGCATCGCCCACCATGATGCGGAACTCCCTGTCCGGATTGGCGAGCGCGAGGTTGTGCCGCACCTCTTCCAGCTTGACGTCGTTGCGGCCGTGGAGGACGACGTTGAAGCCCCGCCGGGCGAGCTCGTTGGCGAGACCTTTGCCTATGCCGTCGCTTGCGCCGGTGACGAGGGCCCAGGCTGGTTTGCCGTGGACAGGGACGAGGTAGCGGTCGAGTTTGGATTTGCGGAGGAAGGGGAAGAAGGGCCATGCGAGGTTGTATGCCGCGCCGACGAGGGCGATGAGCCCGACTATTTGAAGGAAGCTGAGAGATTCCATAGTAAGGTGATTAAAAGGGGTACTAATTAGTCACTAGCTAGCTAGCAGAAAGCACAATTGTGAATGAAAAGAGCTTATGCTGCCTCTGTTACTCACCTTGTCCCGTTCCACGCTCAGCTACTTGTACGCTCGAAAGAAACGAAACGCGCATGTGAATGGTCGGGCCAGACGTCATCCAGTGCAAGAGGTTGTCGAATTGACTCTGGCCAACAGGGATGGTTCAACAACACCAAACGCCAGTTCTTCATGCTCCTCGCATGGAGTTGGACATCCGAGGGCAGCCGGCCACCAAATTCCGTTAATACGGATACGCTCTACCATGCCATCTCGGAGCCAACTCGTTCCCCGATGAGCGGCTGGACGAGCAGGATCTGCCCGCAGCGCAGGCAAGATAGTCCTCGGCATGTCAGCGATGCAAGAGTTGGGCCGAACTCTGCTTCCCTTTCTTGGCTCTGTGCCTCTGGTGAGCCCATTCTCACAGACCAGAGCCTAGGCCGTTCGTTTCCGCTCAACATCGGACGGAGAATAGAGAGTGCGGAAATAAGGCCCAGCTGTTTGAGCTTGGGAGGTAGTAGTAGTATTGATACAATGTCTGTACATACAAATCGCCGGGAAGTAATGGTACATTTTTTCGTCCTGTTCTTTTTTGTGCTCTTCCTCCACACCAACAACCGCTCTCCCGTGTCTACCAAAGGGTGTTGTCGCGGGTAACCTTCTTGGTCTCCTTGCGCGACTCCTTGTCGGCGTGCTCGATGCGCTTTCTCGCAAGCGGCACCTTGAAGTACAAAGACGGTGACTCGCCCTCCTTGAGCAAGTGGCTCAAGTAACCGCGGTGGGCGGGGTCGCGGTAGTACTCGATATCCTCACGGCTCGTGGGGTCGGGCAATCTGTAGAGGAACGTCTTCTTGCGGGCCTCGGAGAGGATGCTCTCGACATACTCCTTGCCAACAGGCAGAGGCTTATCCGTGTTCTGGGACTCGCCGCGGAGGAGGCGCTTGATGGACTGCTTGGTGTAGAACCTGGTGAGGATCTTGCCGCCGTTGCCCTCGACAGCGTCGATGGCGGAGGCGGAGGCGCGCGAGACCATGATGTCGATGGGCTGGCGGAGGTCGGTCTTGCCACGGCCGAGGAGCTTGATGCCGTCCTTAACGCTACCGATGAGGCCCGACTCGATGATTTCCTTGACGGTGATTTGCTTCGTGGGGTCCAGGCGGCCGGCATCGATCCATTGTTGGAGCTTGTCGAGGTTCAGTTTGGACATGACGGGAGCGCGCCTGAATTTGAAAGTCAGTAACTAAGGATTGATTGTGCAGACAAGGCTCTGGAGAAGTCATTAGCGTATGATCTCCAGAAATGCACCTACTTGTTGTCGAAACCCTTGGTTCCCCTTTGCACGATCAACGGTGTCTGACCACCCTGGAACCACGGCTTAACGTGACCATGCTGTCCCTGACCCTTGTGACCTCTTCCAGACGTCTTGCCCTTGCCGGCAGAGGGACCGCGACCGAGTCTGATGCGCTTGTTGTAAGCTCCCTTGTTGTCGCTCAGGCTGGCGAGGATGGAGGCATTGCGGGTGCCAATGGACAGGCCGGCGAAGAGGGAGACGAGGCTCGTGGGGTTCGTGGAGGGGCGAAGGGCGCGGCTACAGCATGTCGCAGCATGCAACGGCGATACTATCCGTGGCGACATTGTGAGGGTGGATGTGGTGGCGGTCGTGGGCGTTGGGTGACGATGAACAGCGACACGGCCGAGATTCCAGGTCCGGTCCTCCAAAATTTCCAATGGAGCCTCACTCTCTCGGGAAGCTGCTGCAGGTGGCCCGGTCGCGGTTCGGCGGGTTCACGCGAAGAAGAGCCGACCGAGCCACACTTAGAAGAGTGGCTGAAGCTCTAGAGAATGTGGCTGGTGATTGTACTTTATATGCTTACCTAAGGCCCACTTGAAAGACATGACTTGCGTTAGGCGCCTGAAGCTTCCCTGGCGGCAGCCCAGTGCCCCTCTACGGAGAAGGTACCTTACGGAGCACGTCGACCTGCGACAGGGACTGTTTGCTCCGCAACAGCGTGGTCTCCTGGTTCAGTCCACTAAGGTACTTAAGGTGTCCCAGCTCTGTCCCTGGTTCAGGCACTGAGAGAGGCACAGACGGACATTTGGGATTTGGGCTCACTTTACTCAGCACTGTCAGTGTCGCCAGAAACAGCGTATCCTCGTCCAAGTCCCAGAGGAAGGAAGTACCTGACCAGGTCCCTTCCCTCGCAGCCCACGGCCCGTCTCGACTTGTCTCAAGCTTCCAATCCTTGGCCCCAGCTCTGCCTTCAGGTTGGGTTGTGACTTTGGGAGTCAAAAAAAGTTTCAAGCTTTCTGTCTTGATTAATCTTTTTTCTTTTCAAACTTCCAATCGTGAGATCGCTCTCTGTTTCTGTACAGTTTGTTGTGTGTACGTGTACGTACGCATCATCGTCAACCATCTCAGTGCTGCGTGTACATACTTAGGTACCTCACCCTCCATACCTTGCCATTGTCGCGGCCTGTCGCATCATCCACCCACTAGACCCCCTGGTCTTCCTTTCATCATCGTCTTCTTCTTCGGTTCCTTGCGTTGTTGGTGTTTGCAAGGTACGGATACTCGACTCGACTGGACGTAGCTCAGCTCTCCCACACCTCTGCTGGAACCGACCTCGAGCTCTCTCGGCTCTCTGTTACTGCGATACCTTGACGTTGGCGCCAGTACCTACGCGGCAAGCTTACTCCGTCCGGACCTTTGGTCACCACGACTCGCCCGTCGACCTCTTTGCTCTCCTACCTTATCTCGTCACACTGCAACCGCCCGTATTCTACAAAGTCCCCCGTTACGCATCAATTACGAGGCCTTTCTGCTCTGCGTCCTGCGTTGGATAGCGCACTCCTCCGACCAGTAGCCCTTCCAATCCATCCAAGGGACGTCAATCGGCCTCTAGAGTACAGATACCACCAGTCAAACGCCGGTACTACCTCGATAACCTTGGAATTCGTTACCACCCTTCTCTCGCACCCCTCCTAATCGCAATTGGCCGTCCAGTACATACATAATCGCCTGCAATGTCCCTCTTCGGATCATCACCACCGGCGGATTCGCCCTCAAACACCTCTGCTGCGCCCTCGCGATCGCTGTTCGACGAAGGCTCCATGTCAAAGTCCGGCTCCAATTCGCTCTTCACCGACGACGGTCTCGCCGGAGCCGAGAGCTCACCCTGGGACATGCCCACTCCGAGGAAGAAGCAGTCGCGCGCCGATGTCGTCCGCAACCTCTTGTCCGCCTCCGACGTCCCCGAGCCCTACATTGAGACCTTTGACACAGTCGTGCGCGAAGATGGCAGCGGAGGGCGCGTCAACGCCGGTGGCATAGCCAAGTTATTCGCTGCTGCGCGCCTGGGAGCCGACCAGCAGGCGCAGATCATGGCCATGGTTGTGCCAGCTGCAGGTGGCGACATTGCTGTCGGACGCGGCGAGTTCAACGTCCTGCTGGCTCTTATTGCCCTGTCACAGGAGGGCGACCACATCAGCCTCGACACCGTCGACGAGCGACGCAGAAGTGAGTCCGTTCTCTTCCACCTCTTTTTCCTCCATCACCATCGCCATCATCATCACCACCATTTCCCAGCACCAGCAAACACCCACTTTTGTCTTGCCCACCTTGTTATGTCATGACCTCGGCACCCTGTTCGCCGAGCTGAGCTACCCGACCCTCGCAGCTATCCCTCCTTCGTACCTTGCTACCACTTATCAGTGCGCGCAATCTGTGTGGGGTTCTCTGCTAATTGCCAATACACTAATCCAGATCTCCCACTCCCCAAGCTCGCCGGCTTGACTGCTGCTCCCGTGATGCCTCCCGTCTCCGAGCTTGCTGCCAAACCTCCTCAAGCCCCTGCAACCCCCGTCCAAGATACCCCATCGCCGCCCTCACCGCCGCCGCCGCAGCCCGCCACTCTGCGCCGACCTCCGATGGACTTCCCAGAGCCAGAGGACCCATGGAACTCTCCCGATGTACACAAGGGCCACGCGCACACCATCGCCGAGTCCCCCAGTAGAACCAACGGCGCCAGCCCCCAGCGCCCTGCAGCAAATGGCAATGGCAACGGCAATGGCCACTACAGCACGTCTCCGAGCACCGCCATCGCCGGCCGAACCATGTCTTCCTACACGTCTGCGGCCATCGGCTCAGAGAGGAGTTCCGGGCGGCAGGATGTAAACACCGGCACATCGCCGGGCGGTGGATGGGGCGGCTACTTTGATGGCAACACCACGGGAGGCGGCTTCAGCGAACCATCCCAAAACAACCAGGTCACAAGTCCTTTTGGCGGTGCAAGCGGTGGACGCGACGCGAATCTCAATCCCGCAGCCGTGCCCTCTCTGCGGCCTGCCGTGAGCGGTCGTTCGGGAAGTTCTGTCGAGGAGAACGTCGTCATCACGTTGATGCCGGAGAAGGAAGGACTCTTCATGTTCCAACATCACAACTACGAGGTCGCGAGCGTCCGACGGGGTAGCAAGGTCATCAGGCGGTACAGCGACTTCGTGTGGCTTTTGGACTGCCTACACAAGCGGTATCCGTTCAGAGCCCTTCCTCTGCTGCCGCCCAAGCGTGTTGCTGGTAGGTCTCATACTGCTTCTCGTTCACAATGTTTACATGGCCCCCACTGACATCTATACGTTAGTCAACGGTAACCACTTCTCTAATGACGGCGCATTTATCGAGAAGCGCCGCAGAGGCCTTGGGAGGTTCCTCAATGCTCTTGTCCGGCATCCCATTCTCAGCCAGGAACAGCTCATCATCATGTTCCTCACTGTCCCGACTGTAGGCCGCTTCTAGTCTTCTCAGTCCACTGCATTTCGCTAATTGTTAGTATCAGGAACTGGCTGTATGGCGCAAGCAGGCCACCATCTCCGTCCAAGATGAATTCTCCGGACGTGCCCTGCCGCCCAACTTGGAAGACTCGTTGCCGCCCACCCTCGAGGCCATGTTCGATAAGACGCGCTCCGGCATCAGACGCTCAGCTGAGCTGTACATTAACATCTGCAACGTCATGGATCGTCTAGTGAAGCGCAGCGAGGGAGTTGCGGCGGACCATGCTCGTATTGCCATGTCTCTGACCTCACTCACCGAAACGAGTGCCGACACATACGCCAGCGACACCAACGATGTGCCTCTGCTCAATGATGGTCTGACGTCCATGAGCAGACACTTGAGAACGTGCCAGACGCTCTTGGAAGATGAGAGCAAGGCTTGGGAAGAGGGTGTATTGGAGGATCTCAAGCGCCAACGAGATGCTCTTGTGAGCATCCGTGACTTGTTCGATCGCAGGGAACGTCTGGACAAGGACAATATCCCCTACCTTGAGCGAAGGATCCAGACAAACGAGACCAAGTTGGCCAGTCTCCGCAGCAAACCCGATGGCATGGTTAAGCCTGGCGAGATTGAGAAGGTGGTTGAGTCCATTCTCAAGGTATGTTGGACGCGTTCCTCTCGCTCGCTGCAGTACTGATGATAGTTACAGGATAAGGAGTCCATCGTCAACCAACACAACCGATCCATCTTTGTCAAGGAGTGCATCCGTGACGAGCTCATCTACTTCCAGACTACCCAGTTCCACGTCTCGCGTTGGAACCAAGACTGGGCCCAGGAGCGCGTCAAGTACTCCGAAATGCTGGCCGACAACTGGCGCCGTCTTCTCGATGAGCTTGACGGCATGCCCCTCGGCGACTAATTACCTCCCCTCCGTACTTTACCCTTTCTATGAACGCATAGGCTTTGCATATGAGCGTCTCTTCACTACTGGCGTTCCGGTCTTTCCTCTTCACCCGCCGGGATTGTTTCGACTCTTGCGTTGGACTGTGTCAGCGACAGTCTACCTCAAGTCATGTACGAATCTGTGTCCAATGGTTCTTGTTTTTTTTTTTCTGAGCGCGATATCTCTCAAGTCAGAATGTACATTTTAGAGCAGGGACCCGTTGCCGAATACCCTTTGGTTACGCAAGTTGCTTTTAATACATTGCCCCAATTTCGATCTCATCATCTGCTCTTGCCTCCTTTGACCTTTAACCAGTAGCTTTCAAGGCCTTGACTCAATGAAGATGCCGCCGTCGTCGTCATCCAGGTCGAATCTTTCGCCGATCTACATTGCCATCAGATTAAGCAAGTGTCTCATGGCTTAAGTCAGACTTCAGTCCACATTCCTGATATCATCTTGATTACAGTTGTCATGGCAGATGAGACGTCGTCTTCATGAATTACCATACTTTATTCATTTTTACATAATTGATGAAGTTGACAAAGCACGTCATCCAGAGTCGCTCTCTGTTAAGGATCCCTTCGGAAATCATGATGAGCTAGCATCCAAGTCCTTTAGGCCAGGTGCTCATGCATTTCTCCATGTATTTATATTAGTGCTCGAATGTCAGATGAGATATCTGATCTCGTTATCCAAATGACAGGTTCTCCATTTATGAGATCACACGCCGTGGGCCAGATAGCTTCCACTCATCGTTCGAAGCACTTCAACCATTGGGATGGCTTACTGGAAACAGAATAAGCCAGTATCCGATAGCTTCACCTCAAGTGCCCATAAATGCCACATGAAAACAGACCTGGCTCTTATGTCACAGAAAATGTCTGGTCCCGAGCCAATCCATGGTCTCCTTGCCGATCTGTAGTCAGCGTCAACGAAGAAGACGAGGCACCTTCTACGGCGCTTTCCATCCACCGAGGCTTCTCCCTAATACGTGCTCCAGCAAGCTTTTCGTCTTCAGTAAGGTATCAAATCACTTGACGAGACATCATAAGAGTCTAGCAATTGGTCATGGTGAAAGCCTTACATGGACTGACGTCTCACTCAGCCAATCCTCGGAGCTTCTAGTTTCTTCTCCTCTTTGCTTCATCCCTCAAAGGGACACTATCGTGCTCTGATCGTGCCCCGGGGTCATACATCGCATATAGGCTTCTCCATTCCCCATCACCACTTGATGTGAAGAGCCCCCATCCACGTCCTCAGGCATAGTACAGCTCGACAGCCATGGGAAAAGACCAAGTCATCGTGAAGATTTCATGAGCTCCGTAATAACACAAGCCCTAGAATCCCGTCAACAAGCGGATCCCCCACGATGGAATTCACGTCTAGAAAATCCTTTCAGTCGACGAGACTTTCTGGAATTTCTCTTTTTTCTTTCCACCCAGACATCACCACATTCTTCCAGCCTTGTCTGGAAATATCTCGACAACCAACTATCTCCAGATTCGCCAAAGCTACCAGCAGCCAACATGGATGTAAGTCCTCCTCCCCCTTTACCCCCTATTTCTCGCGAGTGTTACTTACTAATAATCGATTGCCAGCAGGAAAAGGGCAACAAGGAGAAGCCTATCGTCGTCTCGAGCGACGAGGGTGAGACTCCTCCCCTCACCCCCCGAACCGCCGCGGCCGCCGGCCAACTCCGGCTTGCCCGCCTTCTCGCCGAAGGCCCAGGGGGCTACGTCCCCCGGCTTGATCCTCCCACCCTCGCCGAGTTCGGCCTGGCCCCGGCCTCGCCCCCGGCCCCCGCGCGCCCCCCTGCCTCCTCTCGGACCGCCGCCTTTGCCTCTGCCGCTGCCGCTCCCATTGCGCCCACCTCCCGTGCGGCCAACGCCCGCGCCAGCCCGGCGGCCTCGGCGGCCTCAACCTCCAGCTCCGCCAGCTCCGCCAGCAGCTCGATCGGGTCGGGGAGCTCGGCCTCTGTCGGCTCCTTCTTCGACGACGAGGACGTCCAAGGAAGAATTCGGGCGCAGACAGGCAGCAGAAGGGACCACCGCCGCTGCAAGTTCAAGTACTACAAGCGCAGACAATCCCGGTCCAAGTACCGCAACGTATACCGTTGCAAGGGTTATCCCGGAAACCCCGATTGCAAAGACATGCTCTACTGCTCTCGCGAAAGAAAATGCCTTCATAAGTCCAACTTCAAGGACAAGGACGGACGTATCAACCTCAAAAACTGCGCAGACTGCCGCGCGGAGACCCGCACCGCCAAGATCAAGGACAAGGGCGAGCGAGAAGCCAAGAGACGCGAGCTGGCTTCCGAGTTCAAGGCCGTTCCGTTTCAACGTGGTTCCGGAGCCGGTCGTAACGCGAAGGGTAAGAAGCGTCGCCCTGCCAAGAAGAACGCTGCCCGCAAGGGCAAGGCTGCTGCGGGTGCTCGCGGCAACCTGAATGGGAACGAGACTGAGTCTGGCGTTGAGACGGAGGAGGAGCCCCTGGACCACGTGGAACTGCCTGACGAGCGTCCTGGCTTGAGAAAGCGTCGCCGCGAGGATGAGTCTGACGACGACGACAACTACGGCGCAAACGGAAAGGGTGGCTTTTCGGGCTTCGGTGGAGGCAACGGTGCGATTCCTGTGACTGCGTTTTAAGGAAGTTTCTGTTCTCGTTCCGAAACGCTACGGAGGTCATACATTCAACTTCATTCGCGACTTGGTCCTCTACCGGTACTGGCAGCTCGCACATTACGACCTATCGACATCACCAGTGGATTGATTCGAACAAACATACATACATACAAGGCGTCTCGGTTTCTTTCTCGGCATGACAGGCTCGACATGGCTAGTGGCCCTGATTTCTTGCACCATTGGGAGGAAGTGAGCGTGGAAATGTGCCTAGATTGGGACGTTACTTCAGCGAGGGGTTTTTCGAGAGACTATGGGCCTGAAGCTACAGTATAGGCTTGGAGGTACCTTTCTTCGTTTTAATTCATGACTTCTGGCTCGAAATCATCTCTCTCTGAACGTGAAAATCTCCTAAGTGACCTGCTTGAGATCTGATAATGTATTGACTGATACCCATAAACTGAGAGATATCTGAAGGCAGGACGTACTCCAGCCTTCAATTTTGTCCTGAGATCTGCCATTTGAAAAAAAATCAACATTCTCACCTCACCAAGGCTACCATCCATACGACAGATAGCCTTCACCATGCCTGCTTACCATCCCTTCGCCATGAGAGTGAACTACCTACCCAGTGAACTTCTCAATGAATCTCCTGTTTACTCAGGGGCCCGCAATAAGCCTAATCGCTCACACTGCATCGAGGGCCTGCCCTAGGGCTATCATGAGCTTCACGGGCAGGTCCAGAAAGACACCAAATACCACCTCTGTCCGGCAAGCGGTCTAAAAAGTTCTGTCCATGAGCTGCTCTGGTTCCTTCTCCTCTTTCTTCGTTCTTCAATGCTCAACAACCACAAAGACTTGTTCCATCGAGATCGAAGAAGCTGAACACATCAACAAATCTCGCGAACAAAGAAATCAAGGCCTCGAGCCGAGCCACTCGGTATGGCGCCTGTAAGTTGGCCTTCTGTATTCTTCCATCGCGATCTCTCTTATTATCTCCTGTATTTACATAGAGGGCATTTTCGACCTTCAGCCTTGTGCTGGTGGTTTTGGTGCCTCTCAAGCTGTTTTCTATTGCATCACCATCACCATTATCCCACCGCTCTTCTATCCCATTTTGCTTCAGAGTTACCCCAGAAGACACGAATCTCGATATCAGAATCATTCCTGTATTATTGAATCAGTGGACTGATAATCCGTCGAGTCACAGCGTCAGAGAAGTCAGACGAGCATTCATCACCATTGTCACCTCGGAAACTATCCCGAGACCCAGTATCCCAAGGGCACTCCCCGCCGTTGCCTTGGCCAGGATCCCGAGTGCGCGAGCCTCGTCCTTTGCAGCACATGTCGCAAATGTCAAGATGAGAGTTGCTTCAGCCAGAACTTCTCCGGTTTCTTCGAGTCTCGTGCCTGTATCGACTGCGAGAACAGGAAGAAGAAAGAGAAAATGAAGAGAGCTTCCGAGGGTGAAGATGCCTCAGAGCAGGCTTCTCCCAACCAAGCTTCTGTCAACCAGGCTTCTTCCAGCCAGGCTTCTCTCAATCAGACCTCTCAGCTTGTACGGCCGATTCATCCCCCGACTCAGCAGCAAATCTCGAGCCTTCATGCTTCCAATCTCCATGAGCAAGCTTTCGGCCATCTCCAGCCGGATTCTGGCCATGTGTACACCCAAGAATCTCTCGGCCTTCCCCAATCTCCCACTGGAGGTCATCAACCTGCCTCTGGCCCCTATCAGCAGGTTTCTGGCCCACCTCTCGCATACTTCCCAAGCTATGGCTAGCAGCCGGCCACATATGCACAGAACCCTCCTGGCTCACCGGAGCCAACTACTCACCAGACCCCTCATCAACCGTATCTGGGTCCTGAAGATGCGTGAGGCTGGTAATCTGGGTGGTGGTTCTGTATCCGCAAGGTAAACTCAATTCCTTCACCTCAACGCGACCTGCCCCCGAACTAACCAGTCTCAAGGAGAGTACCGGGACAGCTGACGAAAATGCAAGCTTGAGAGCGGCCGGGAAAGTGTACATCAGAGCTGGGAAGAGTGAGAGGTCGGTGATATGGGAAGACGAGGGAACTCGAGATTCGGTACTTGGGAGCTCAGATCGCCCCCAGATTTATCGTCAAATACATACATTCCCCTTGAAGATGCCTTGCGCACCTATCTCGTGAAACTTTCTAACGTTGATTAGAAAGGTGGGAACAAACTAGGACATGCACAGATTATTTCATGAGTTGGCAACTCTTGAGTTCTAACCTTGGAGAGATACAACATGACCACCCCAAGAGTTCGCTGCATCGAGGTAGCGTGGATCGTAGAGCTCACAGTTACCTTGCGATGAGACCATTCCTGGAGTCAATGTGGTGATCAATGAGCTTAAGCTGAGCCACGTCAGTCCAATACATTGACTCTACAAGCTGTCAGATGCTGGCTGGATCTTGGCGTGGCATGGCTGTCATCTTCGAGAAGCAATACGAGAAGATGGAGCCCGCGGTCCGCGACGCCGCATGGCCGACGCCTTCCGGGCGCCGACTCCCGCCGGCACACGGATTGCGGAAGCTGAACAGCTACTTGAACTGGTGAGACTCATGCACTTTTGACCATCTCACCTCGACTAACGTGCTTTCTTGGATTCTTCTTCTTGTGGAAGAGAAGTCAGGTACTAAAAGGGAGGGTGAGCATCGGCACCTTTCCCGAAAACGCACATGAGCAACCTTCGCCTAACCTCATTCTTCTATGACCACTCGACATCCCTCCGTTTTTGGCTCACCGCTGCTTCACACCATCTTCGCCCGTCTCCCGCTGCTCAATTTTCTGATCATTCTCGTATTTCACGCCCGTCCTGCATCTATTGCACCCAGACTATCATGACGGTACCATCCCAAAGAGACCCAAAAAGCAACCCTCTTATCTCATCACTGAGATAATGGACGGCTGGGATGTGGGCGAGGCTGCCAACCAGAACGTCGAGACCCCCGGCTAGTTGCCGGTGTCGCGCATATCAATAGATAATGCACCGCGATATGGGTATGTGGGATGTGGGATGCGGGAAAATGCCAGCAGAGCAGATCGCTGAGACTAATGGCCCATGGAAAACCTAGACCACAGCATTGGATATCAGATATATCAATCGCCCCGGGTCGCTAGTCTTGCAGGACGGGCGCGCCATCGCGGGGCAACCTTTTCCTGACTTCACCGTATCATCGCGGATGGGGAATTTTCTCGGCAGCTCGGCACCGCCAACGATGGGTTCGTATCCCGATTGAGAGTTGCGTAAAGCACACACTTGGACGATGGATGGAGTAGGATGTGCCGTGTTTCCCGACGGATCTTACGGGGACCGGTTGCTGGAAGGGATTAATACTGGCGGTGCGACACGTCCAACAATGGCAACGACGGCATTTCTCTCGCTCTCACGGACTACGGCGCGATTCAATAACAGCAAACGACAATCACGATCAAGAGAAGAGGGACTGCTATGGGTATTGCAAATATGAGTCGACATTAAGGAAGAGGAACGAATTCCTGGAATATGTATCTCGCATCTATCTTCGACGGCCGTTAATGCGCTCAATTCCGATCTCGTCGAAACGCGACCGTTTTATCTACCAGGAAAAAGGAACCAAAATATCCGGGACACCATTCAATGAGAAGGAAACAAAGACAAAGCACAAGGAAACCCAAGGTATTACATCCGTCCTGCATATCATCTGCGCGTTTCAACCTGCCGTTTGCTCCAATGTACACCAACCGCAAACAACAGGGTCGCTACATGTATGCGCTAGAAAAAGCCCAAGTGAGTAACGAGAATTCCACTGATTGGAGGAAAAAGCAAAAATCGTGAGAAGCATGAGGGATGTGGGAGAGTGATGACTGAAGAATGCGCCACCGTCAGCCCAAGACAGCCGCAAACCTTGGCCGAAAGTCTTAGTTGCACCACATCTCAACACGAGTCTTGTCGAGCTGGTCCAGGACGTCAAAGTCAAGTCCTGTTTGTCGGAAAGCGACAATGATCATGTCGAAACGCTGCTCCAGCGACCGCGCGTTCCAGTCCTCGACGTCCAGGCGCGCGATTTGCGGTACAGCCTCCTGCTTGACGAGAGGATCGGCCCAGCAAACATCGACCTTTTCCGTCAGCACGAGGCTCTTTGCGAGTTCGAGACCGGGAGAGTTGGCCAGGTGCGACTGGCCCTTCTTGAAGCCCATACCCACGACAAGGACGCTGGGTCTCAGCTTCTCGGCGCACAGTGTGTCAACCGCGCGCTGAGCGATGGCCATGGGGCGAGCTCGCATCTTCTCCGTTGCGTGTTGCAGGAGAGGAAACTGACTGTTCGAAAGAAGGTAATACGGGTTGACTGGAATGCAGTGACCACCAACGCCGAGGCTGGGCATAAACGGCATATATCCAAAGGGCTTGGTCGCCGCCGCACCGGACACCTCGTATGGGTCAACGCCGTGGCCCAAACAAGCATCGGCCATCTCGTTTGCGAACGCGATACACATCATACGCTGGCAATTCTCGTACAACTTGGTCATCTCAGCGACCTCGGGCCGAGACACAGGGACGACATTGTCAAACACCTGCGAGTATAGGCGAACAATGGCATTGAGCGAGCCCGGAACCATGTCATCCAAGCCGGAAACGATTTTGGGAATGGCGAATGCAGGCGGCTCAACTCGGCCAGGGTCAACTCGTTCGGGTGACATGCCGGCAAAGAGGTGACGCTCCTTCGCCAGAGGCCCGAGCAGCTCTCTCGTCATACCGACTGCGACGGACGATTCAACGACAACCACCGAACCGGGGCGAGCGTATGTGGCGACATTCTTGAGAGCAGATTTCAGAAAAGAAGCGTCAATGGTCTGGTCTGGGCGCAATAGTGTCGGAACCGAGATGAGGAAGTGCGTGGCAGCTGCCATGTCACTAGGCTTGCAAGTGAACTTGGCCTTGCTGTCTGGGCCGAATTCCTCGCCAAGACTCTGGACACGCGCCTCAGAGACATCGAAACCGAGAACATTGAACTTGCGAGCAAAGTTGCCCACAAGGTGCTCTCCAACGTATCCGACACCGATGACGGCCACCAGAGGTTCCGCCTCTAGGTCAATGGAGCTTGCAACTGTGGCAAGCTCCTCATCCGATTCGCACTCCTCCGTGGGAGGCGTGATGGGGTAGTAGCCGTCATGAGGGAAGTCCCATACTTGAGGCTTGGTCTCCGGGGAGTCGAAAGGATATCCGTTGTGGCAAGTCGGAGAACGCTCCGGGGTGTCGGGAGTGAGCATCTGGGTATCCATTGCAATGGAGCGAGGGTGTAAACGAACGATGAGGGCTTCTACAAAACGAGTGGTGGGATAGGCCTGTGAAGATGAAGGAGAATATCTTTTCTGATATCTGCCTTTGGGGAAAAAGTCAACTACACTGCCAAGTGTCTATAGCTCTTGGAAAGGGCGTAAGAGTGGAAGAGAGGGGCGCACGGGATGGAAGGAAGAAAGCCCTTGTCAGAGGAAAGGAAGCGGGAGTTAAAAAGACTTGCCAACTGAGGCACTGACATGATGGTCAGGCACAGGGAGGAAGGAAGAAGAGGAGACAGCCCACTCATGTTGACCCTGCCCCTGGCGTCAGCTTTCTCGAGGTTGCCCAGACCAGACCGTTGCGGCCGCCGTCCTCCATGGCAGCAGCAGAGCAAAGCAATGATTGAGACATGGCATCGAACTGGGTGTTGCCGGGCCTAATCGGGATCCACGTCTGGTTTGCAGCATACGGCATAAACGCCATGGTAGTGGTGAGGCTCCCTCAAGCCAGCCCGGCGGCACGCGGCTGGAGAATAGCGACGGGGCCGTGGACAGATCAAAGTCGAAAAGCAGAACGACATGTTAGTTTCAGGTCGAGGCTAGCTCCCGAGCAGGCCAGAACTTGGGGTCAAACAGGCGACCATGAGCAATAGTTTGTCCAAAAGCAGTCCATGGCAAAGCGGCCTGAAGGTGGCTGAAGGTTCCACCCCCTCAGAGCGCAACCGCAACCACAACCACAGGCGCGCTTCGGCAAGACGACGCTGCACGGAGAAGATTACAATAGCGCAATATGGCATCAGCACAACGACAATGGCAGAATACTGCTCAGGCCGGGTGTGTCCAGACTCTCGTCACTCACCAGCAAGATCATCCAGCGTGGAATCGCCAAGCTGGCAAGCCCGGATGCATGAGGCAGGCAAAGACACTCATCTCCCCTGTCTGCCCATACCTAGCACTCTCACGGCTCGCCGAGGTGTACTCCGACGCTTGATGTCATGCAGAACGCCCCCCGTCAACACTTGCTGAGGGCCAATTTTTGGGGAGGAGGTTGCTGCGGCCTGCTCGGCTGGCCTGGGGGTAAGTATGCTTTCTTGGAACTTGGACGCAGAATTCGAACATGACAATCTTTGTTGCATGGTCATATTCGGGGTTCGTAAGCGGTGGCCCAGGGTACTGCTGGATCGAGATGAATCGAAAAGGGCCGGAGGTTACGCTGGGGTCACCTTCGCATCTCACGGCCGAAGGGGGTGCTTGCTTGGCCACCGGCCTTGGGCGCGTCGATCACGCATGGCTGGATTCTTTTCGCGGAAGAGATTTCTCAACCTCCCTTCTCCGGCGATGTCCCAAAAAAAGGCCTGGAGGTCATCTTCGACAGAAACCTTGCGAGAATATCGACAGGGGGTCGGGGTCTCCAAGACGAGAAGAAGGGTGTATGGACAAGCTGGAAAAGAGCCAGGATGAGGCTTGCTTGCAGAGTACGGACTGAAGGCGGCGTACAGAAAGCTCCTTCGGTCTCCGTATTCCGTATGCACATTTCGAGGTCGACGGGAGCTACTGTCTTGGCAGCTTGATATCGAGTCGAGAGTCGAATGAGACGACGTTATGTGTCGAAGCACAACAATAGAGAAGTAAGTGTACGGTTGTGGAGGAGATGATTGGTGTGAGGAACGAGACAAGGAACGTTCGGTCAGCTCCCCATGGGATATGCATACCAGCCTAATGCATACGCATATGCATATGGGAGATGCATATGCAAGTGTCATACAATATGCATCACGGCAGCATGGAGGCGAGGGACCCGCCCCCGCCGAATGCTTTATTGCATCTCGGAAAAATGCTGGGTGGTATTGCATGAGTGCGAAGTCCACTGGAGGCGGGGTGTCTCTCATCCCCGCTCGACTTTCTTCTTTCTTCATCTTTCTCCGTTACTGCATCGCCATCTTATCATTTCCACACCCCCCCTCCATCATCACCACATCACCCACCCACCCTCCTTCATCCCCCCCCCCCGGTCCGCTCCTCCTTCGTGAGCTACGTAGGTACTCCGTACCTTAGTAGGCTCCCAGCTTTGTGGGGCGCGAGCCCTTCAATGGCTTTCCGGTCCGTCCTCCACGATTCCATCCCATCAACCGCCCGTTCGACACCGATCCAAGCTTCCAAGCCACAAACGGCCCCTTGCACTGGGCGGCATACACGTGGTGGAGAAACCCGCCAACGGACGACTGCTTCCCTCAGAGACGCCTCTTTTTTTCCTATCCGTTCTCCCTAAACCTCGTTCAGGAAGAGAAGAAGAAAACATGAACGCCAAACCCCCCTTCATCTCGTCATTCTCGGCTCGGGACCGGCGCGGCGCCTTGGGGGAAGCGCTTGTGTTGCACATGTGGCGGACCTACCAGCTGGATTTCATTTTCGGGACCCCTCAAGCCACAGCGGACTTCTTTCGACCAGCAAACAAGCAGCCTCTAGTGTCCCTACTGAACGATGCCATTTGCAGTCCCGCCGCCTGGGGCCAACATATGGCTCGAGCTGACGGGTTGTAGCATGATGCTTCATCCAAACAAGCAAAGCCTCTGTCCGAAACGGGGCGCTGAGAAGTTTTGATCGACAGCCAAGTCGCACACCGTCGACCGAGACGGCATCATCAAGCATTCGGCTCGTTTCATACAACGAGGGCAGCTCTTCTCGAAAAGGAGCCAAAAGCGGGAATTTGCCTCTGCACTCCTATGTGGCCGTTGACGACGGCTTCGACTGTAATGCCGTCTCCTCACCGCGATCTCGCAACACTTGCCGACCTGTCTCTCGACTACCAGAAGCCCACTGCAGCGTCCACGGACGAAGTTGCACCGCCACTGCGCGCTTCTCAGACTAGTTATTTGTGGTTCAAAAGGCTTTTTCAATGTTCTGACCATGGGATTTGCCATCGTGCTCGGTGTGTGCCCTCAACACTAGCATGATTGGTGGGACTTCGTGCCCTCGTCTCAAGCTGACGAACCAAAAGATGGGATGGCAAAATGCCTCTGCGCTGGTGCCATCTGCACTGCAAATGCAAGATGCAATACAATTATAGAAACTCAGAGGCACCCCCAACGGATTGGGGATGGATATTGGAGCCGCAGCTTACAGCCCTGCCAGGTTGGCGCCAAGTTCTGCCAACAATGCAAAGAAGACGAGGTGCATCTCAATCTTTGTGTGAGGTTAGGGATGTCATTGGCCCCAGCCATGATCGCACCGCTTCAGTCTGGTGACTTGTACGTCCTTAGGCTTTCGATTATACGAGGAGGTCTAATCGATGAGGCTGCCGTCTTTACTCAATCGCTCGCACCTTACGACCTTGTCCGACCTGATGACATCAAGAATCCAACAAGCGTAGGCTGACCAGTTCTCGTAGGGACGAGAAAGTCTCAACGTAGTGTCTACCTTATGACTGAAAGAGTTGGTTTGCGGAGAAGAGGATGCTGACAGCACTAAAAGATTGGAGCAAAGCGATATTTTTTCACCGTCAAGAACCAAAAGTTCTTTGCCCTCTTGTTGGAGTCTAGGAGGTAGGAAATGCCGACCAGAACCTCGCTGACGAGGACGCGGCACCAAGCATAGCAGTGTGCCGCGGGGTATCGGCGACTTCACCTCTCGGGTTCATTACCAAAACCTCGGAGACAGCCAAGGACCGGCTCGTCCGCAGGAGGACAAACCTGACCAGCTTGGGGAAACACAAACCCGTCCATTCGGGTTGTCTGCTAAAAGATTCCGATCTTCGCACCAGCTTTTCAGGGTCGACATACGACGACGAAGAGAAGCAGAAGAAAGACAACGTATCCTTGTTCTCAACTTGGTCTTCGAAGTCATGCTGCGAGACCATTCTCGCGGTCAAGTTGCACTTTGTGCATCGATGCCGCAGGACACGGAACCTGGACGAGCAAATTTCTTCGAGAAGAGACAAAGACGGGCGTCTAGGAACTTCACCATGATGACTCCCCGCCTCTCATCTCGTTATGCGCATCTTTATGCAGAGCAAAGTTTTCCTCGGATAATCGAATGTGGATAATTGACAGGGGGAATACACCCACAGCCAGGGATTCTGGACTGTTCGGGGGAATCTCGTCGCCCATGGGCAGCTCCCCCGGTTACACCCCAGCTCCTGGTCTTTGATCTTCCTCTAGGTATGCCCCTGTTACTCTCATAAAGCACATCATCAATCTATCATCAGGGCACCTGCAGTGGATCTTCGGTCTGTCTGGCTGGAGGTTGGCATGCTGGCCTGACTGGGTATGTTATTGCCCAGCTTCTGCAGCTCCAAGTCTGCAAGGGCCCAATAAGTCTGGTCTCACTCAGCCCATTTCATACTCAATTGGGAGAAAAAATTTCCTTTTCACCGTTAGCCTGCCAACACACACCTTGTCTACCATTTACCGTCCGGCTGTTGGACGGTTGGCCTCGTACACGAGCAATATCTGCCGATCCCAGCCTTTAGTCGGGCACAACGGGGCCGTGATCGGGTGAAAGCTCATATGGGTTCATCTCTTCAACCCCGCGAGCTTTTCGTACGGCGTACCTAACCCGGCTCTCACGGCTCCGCAACTCGTATGCCACCTGTCGACAGCCTATGCGTCAATGTCTGGCATGTAGTCATGCTGGGGTCGCGTACGAATAGTTGGGTCCGAAGCCATGGATTCAGCCATCTAGAGGATCGTAGGACGCAATGTCATGCTGAATATTGGAGTCTTAGCCCACGATCTGACGGAGCGCCGCCTCGTATCGAGAGGGTTGAAGGTGCCAGCCTACCTTTGCAAGTGCCGTTTCTCCCGTCTGACTCCATCCATCTTTGACCTGAAGAATGCCATTATATGCGCTTGGCCAGCGCCATTGATCCAGCTGCCAAGTCACACGCTCTCTCAGCCAGCCTACTTTTGCCCTCTCTGTCAATACAACCCGAAGGACCGGACTCAGCACGGCGTCCTTGGCAGGTCTGTAGGAGCGATATCCATCTTCGTAGTGTAAAGCCGAAGACCAGTCATTATCGTCGAGGAATCTCTCGTAAATACCGCCCTTCGCCTTCTTTGAATCATTCCGGAACCTATTCTCCATCTTGCCCGCAGCGTCGATCGGTCGGAATCATACCCTCTTTGCCTTGCAGACTGCCTCACATTCTCTAGCCATGCATGCGCTTCTGCCTATCCTCCTTTCAGGGGCGGCCATGGCCGCCACTATAAA